TTATTCTGGCAATTGAAGAAGCGCTTATTTGGACAAGAATTGCAGCCTCACACGTGGAAAGAGCTTATTTCAGCGAAGTGCTTAGACGTTGCCATGTCAGCAAAATTTTGATAAACGTCGTCGTAGTGGCTAAGCTGTTGGATTCTGTATGATCCTATATGACGCAAGGAGGAAACGAAACATGAGGCTCACAAAGACTCTACTCTTCATCTCTGTTTCTGCATATTGCTTTCCCCTCTCTCTCTCTCTCTCTCTCTCTCTCTCTCTCTCTCTCTCTCCTCTTTCTCACTCTAAAATGCAGCTTCTTCATGCTTCCTCGTCACTGTGCGCTTCACTTCATATATCAAAACCATATTCAAGCACAGGTGAATTGCTATGTTGCTCTTGGGTCCTTTTTCTTTTAAATAGTTTTAATGCTCGTTTTTCAAGTTGACACAATGATTTTTTGTTGTTGTTGTTGTTGTAGGACTAGTTTCACCAGAGAAAACTCTTTTACCATCATCTATAAGTTGTTCTCTTCAGCCAAAAGGAATTGAAAGTTCCTTATGGGTATCTCGTAACAACTCCATTTTCACTACTAAGGCTGCCTCTGTTGAAGGTAAACTTTTCTGCATCTTCTATATATATATATATATATATATATATATATGTTTATAAAGAGTAGCTTTTTTCTGGCCTGGTATATAATAACCCATTTTCAGTTTTCTTCAATAAAATTTGGAAAATCCTATTTGTCTTCAATTATCTGGGGTTATGGTTGGAATGAAATGGGAAAAGTTTTGTCCACCATATCCATTTCTTTTCTTCTCTGTCCTAAGTAGTTTATAAAGCTTGAAATTTTTTGGCATCACAAATTTTTAGAACCAATTAAATAGTGTTCATAGTAACTTGCTTATCCTATGAAAAAAAAAAACACTAGTTCCATATGAAATTGTTTGTGTACCAATGAGTAAACTAATTGAGTAAACTAATTATGTCTCGGCTCCTAAAGGTTTTGAGAGAAATCAATATTAATAGAATGTGCAAACATGCAAAGTCCTTATTTACGGATAAGTTAGCAAGTCTTTATGTGGGAGGAGTATGAAATTTATGTATTTATTGTTATTATTATTATTTTGCAGCTGGTGCTTCTACAATATCAAGCGGAACAGCGGAGAATGATGTTTTAAAAGCATTGTCCCAAATCATTGACCCGGATTTTGGGACAGACATTGTCTCTTGTGGTTTCGTGAAAGATCTTCAAATCAATGAGGCTTTGGGAGAGGTCATCTAGAGCATGGATGTCAAATTTTCTATGACATACATGTAAAACATAGTGTCCTTACTAAAATGTATTGGTTTTCATCTCAGGTTTCATTTCGGTTAGAGCTCACTACACCAGCATGTCCAATCAAGGACATGGTAAATCACACAGTCATCATTGTTTGATCAAGAACTCACATTTGTTTGGAATGGTAGACTTAATTTTCTCAACAAGGATAGATATAAAAATATCCCAAACTCCCCTTTTCTATTTTGTGTATTTTTATCCTTTCGATGAAATAAGTTGTAGGCATCGCTCATAACATTTGCTTTGATAGGATGTTCCATAAATCCATGAAGAAAAATTTCAATGTCACTATGCTATTGATGCAGTCTTTAGATCGGCTATGTGGAGTGTTTCCACTAATGATGTGGGAAGTTTGACAAGTTTCAATTGCATGACAGTTTGAGCAAAAAGCAAATGAGGTGGTGAAAATGCTTCCTTGGGTAAAAAGCGTAAATGTGACAATGTCAGCACAGCCTGCAAGACCTGTTTATGCCGGCCTACTTCCACCGGGTCTACAGAAGATTTCAAATATTGTGGCAGTTTCGAGTTGCAAGGTACGTTTTTCCATGAGCTTTTCTTGCTTGTCCTTTGAGAACCTTTGCTTACATTGTATCATTGCTCATATTTGTTAGAATTTTGTTTAGGGAGGTGTGGGAAAGTCAACAGTAGCAGTCAACTTGGCATACACTTTGGCTGGCATGGGTGCTAGAGTAGGAATATTTGATGCTGATGTCTATGGTCCAAGTTTACCAACTATGGTCTCCCCCGAAAACCGGCTACTGGAAATGGTATTCTTGTGAATTCAACTGAGTTTTGCTTCCATTTGGCTAGGGGCTAGAATGATGACGGGACAAAATTTTTTGTAGAACCCAGAGAAGAAAACTATCATTCCTACAGAATACTTGGGAGTGAAGTTGGTGTCTTTTGGATTTGCTGGACAAGGCCGTGCTATAATGCGGGGTCCAATGGTGTCTGGGGTCATCAACCAACTTCTCACTACAGCTGAGTGGTATGGCTTTCTTCCAAGGAGAAAGTAGAGTTTATGTTGAATGAAAGTGGCATCAAGTGTAGCAGTAGAAGTTCACACAAATATTTAAAGTTGATTTCCTTCTGAATAACTGATGTGATGGGTTCTCTCATTTAGGGGAGAGCTGGATTACCTTGTTGTGGACATGCCGCCTGGAACTGGTGATATTCAGCTTACCTTATGCCAGGTTTTCTCCTTTCACATGCTTTTTCTATTTTTATTTTCATTTTTGTTTTATTTTATTTTTTCTAATCATGCTTGGTTTTCTGGTTTAAACCAATACAATCTCATTAATGCAGCAATTATATTTTCTCAGTGTTTGTATCATGACTTATTTAACGCATGTTTATATGGAAAATGAGAAGCCATTTGGAAAAATACTTTTAATGGATATCTTCCTCATACAAACTTCTTGGCATGAAGATTTCTTCATTTTTTTTTCCGATGTTTTCAGGTAGTCCCATTAACTGCTGCTGTCATTGTTACCACCCCTCAGAAGCTTGCATTTATCGACGTTGCGAAAGGAGTCAGAATGTTTTCAAAGCTTAAGGTCAGCATTCTGCTGTCCAGTATTTTTAGCAATTCTTAATCAAACAGACTTACTTGTACACAGTTCCTTGCAAGGAGAGGCAGTTTTATTGTGGCATGGATGGTCATGCGAAATTACTCTCACTGCTTCTTTCTTACTTCTGTTCTCTCTTCTTCTTCTTGTTTTTTTTTTTTGTTCATATATTTAGGTGCCATGTGTTGCTGTAGTTGAGAATATGTGCCACTTTGATGCCGATGGAAAACGATATTACCCATTTGGTAGGGGTTCAGGCTCTCAGGTATGCAGATTTCCGACAATGTAGCTTCTTTCCGCTGGAAAATAAAAACATATAATCTAAATGTCAGGAACTCTTTTTACTGATTACGAACAAGCAAATCTAATCAGAATAAAATGTGGAACCTACACCTTTACAGGTTGTGCAGCAGTTTGGAATTCCTCACCTGTTTGATCTTCCCATTAGACCAACTGTAAGTCCCATGACAGTTTTGTTACTCATCTTCATATCATGAGAAATCTCTTTAATTATTCCTTTAAATTGTTTTTGTTTGTGTAAATTTTTTTTTTTTTTTTTAATAATTCTGTAGTGTTCAATAATATGACATATTGCTGGCCATGTTAAACCTAATTTCATCAAATTCACATATACAAATTTTGTTTTCTTTTCTAGCTATCTGCTTCTGGAGATAGTGGAATGCCAGAAGTGGTGGCTGATCCTCAGGGCGAAGTCGCTACGACATTTCAGGACCTTGGCGTATGCATTGTGCAGCAGTGTGCCAAGATTCGCCAACAAGGCATACTTATTGTGCTCTATGTTCTTCAGAAAAAAAGTGTTCCTTTAAAAATAGAATTGAAGAGCTACATTTTAAACACACATATCATTTTTGAACCTACTCAAGTGTAATGGGTATGCAAAATTTCAAAAGGGTTTTTTAAAAAATATTACCAGAAATATTTGGGAAAATAAATGCTACACGCCATACAAGATTTTCAAACTAAAATGAAGCATTGGGAAGCTTGTAATTTTGCTAAGATTCAGAATGAAGCTTGCAAACTCATTATTACATCACTTTTGATGAGTAATTGAGAAATTTAATTTTCATTAATTCCATTCATTTTTTTGCCCCATTTAGTGTCAACGGCTGTCTCCTATGACAAATCTCTCAAGGTAATCAGAGTGAAGGTGCCGGACTCAGACGAAGAATTTCTTCTCCATCCCGCGACTGTAAGACGAAATGACCGCTCTGCTCAAAGTGTGGTATGAACAAAACTCATTTTGCATGACTGCTTATCTATTCCACATGATTTTCTCGTAGAATAAAAAATATCATAATGTAAAAAAAGCAACATAGAGTTCGGGTCTTTGTGTATCCGGTATCGGTTTGTATAAAAATGGTGGTATACTCGCAGTTTACTGCTCAAAAGGCGTTTGCTGCATGATACATGAATTTTGAGCGCCTCTGTCTCCAACCAAGAGAAAGTCAAAGATAGAACCTTGAATTTGGTCTTGAGGATTTTTCCTTGCTCATTTGGAAAATTAGGAGGTTCTCTTTCTTCATTAATTTACTTACTAGCTCATACCAGCAGGAGAATTTAGTTTTTGTCTGTGTTTTCGTGTGTTAATGTGATTTTTTTTTTCATCTCTTTTTCTGAGAAGGGGTATTCAATAGAATCAAGGCATGATGTGATAAAGCTTGTTTTAGTAGAAGCAATGGCTAGAGAATGCAAACCATATGATCAAGAGATTTCATTCAAAGACCATTAGAGAGTGTAGTCCTTTATTATAACAAAGAAAATTGCTCTCCCCTTTTATTTTTTAGCATATTGTCCTACTCCTAGTCTAGTTTTTATGTAGGGAAATCATCATTAGCATGGACCCTTAGTATTGAAAATATTAACTTGGTACCTTATAATTAGCAAGAGTTCGAACAACCCGATCGACATCTGAAAAACAGCATCCCGGGTACTCGAACTCTTGCTAATCATCACTTTTGGCTATTCGGGAAGCGTTGACATAAGGTACGGATTTAATATTTTTTAATATCAAGGGTCTTTTCCCTTAAGAAAAGAAAACACACGATACCAGTATGATAATTTCTCTTTTATGTATGGTTATAATTTCTTATCAAAAGCTTAGGTGGGAAATAGTATTTAAAGATTTTTACTGAGGGTATTATAAGAATCACATCAGATTTTCCAAATGTATATATATATTTTTTTTGTTCCACATCAAAACTTTCTAACCCCACTTGAAACTGGAAAAGAACAGTAACAATCAAATTGTCATATCCTTACTCTGCATCTATGATAGATAAAGTCAACTAATAAATCTAGAGTTGAGAATTTAACAACACGTGATGTTTGACTTTGAAAGGTGAACTAGTTTGAAACGGAAAATTTGCAGAGCAGACAAAATGTTACTTTTCAGGAAGGAAAGATTATAGGCCTGTTTATTTTTTCAATTTGAGTTGAGATGTGATATTCTTTTAGAGTTTTTTATTGTAGCAAAAAAAGTTAAATGTGATATTTTCTGAAAGTTTTTTACTGTAAAAACTTAAAATTAAAAACTCAATGAAATAAACGCGACCTCTATAAAAAAAAAAAAAAAAAAGGAAAAAGTAGGGCCTAGGAAAGTTCCCCCATTCTACATGCCTGGCTTATTCTATTATTTTTATTTCTTTTTGGCTATCAACTTGTGGGTGATTTATTTTTATGTTTATTTTTATTTATTTATTTTATTATTTTTTTTGTGATGAAACAGGATGAGTGGACAGGAGAGCAGAAATTGCAGTATACCGATGTTCCAGAAGATATTGAACCTGAAGAAATTCAACCAATGGGAAACTATGCTGTCCAAATATCATGGCCGGATGGTTTTAATCAGGTGACTTTCACCGTGTGAATTATAGAAATACACTTGCCTTTTTGGGAAGAGTCAACTTTGTCATACTTAAACACATTTTGTTGACCGGAATGCAAAAAAGAATTAATACGTGGTAAAACATAGAGGATTCGGGAAACTCAAAAATCTCAATATTCATTAACCAAACACGTTTTAAATTGAAATTACAAACAACTTTATTTATAGGCGAACCGAAGAAAAAAATGTAAGAACTTAAACTGAAATAAAATAAGAAAACTACTAACTCTCTCTCTCTCTCTTTTCTTTTTTTTTTTTTTTTTTTTTTGGAAGGGAAACTAGCAACTTAAAGTGATAATAAGAAGCTAACCCGGTCCTAAAAAAATTTAATTAATTAATTAAATAAAAACTAAATTTTAAAAGTCAATACTGTCATAATCTCCACACAGTAATTAGACTAGAACTAGATTTTAGGCTCAGCATTAGGCAAGTAATAGTTGTGATTAACTCATGACTTCGCAGTTTTGAATGAATGTGTAACTGTTATTTCCAATATATTCCTTACAAACTTGTGATCAAATTTAGTTATTATTTTCTTCTGCGTTATTATTTTCAAATTTAGTTCTTTTTTTTGTGTGCTGCAGATAGCACCATATGATCAGCTGCAAACAATGGAGCGATTAGTTGATGCTCCTCGACCAACTGCTGCACAGGCATGACAAGTTTATTCTGCTTTCATTATTTGTTTTGTCTGATATATTGCACCAAATGCTGTCTACTTGACTAAAATTCAAGGTTGTTTTTGTGTTTTGTATTTTTTTTTTTTTTAATATTTTGTTTCCTCTCCTACAGGTGTACTAGCTTCAACAGAATATTCATAGAGACTATAGAAGTGATCTATCATTGTTCTTAAATCTTTTATAATGATCCTGAGAGGAGACGCTAGTGGCTAGAAACCACCAACATAATGACACGTGTCAATTGTAAAAATGACTAAAGGAATATATATATATATATATATATATATATATCATTCTAGGGTTCAGGAACTCTCTTGTAGAATTAGGTAACGTGTAAGACCATTCAATAGTGTAAAGTCTTACTATATTTCATGTCAGATTTGTCCACTCCTTTGCCCTCGTCAAAGATATCTAATGAAATTTTGAATTGGTATGGATGAACCCTTTTTTAAAGTAACTTCAATATATTAAAATGAGGAAATTAAATACCTAAGAAAGACTTTAACATATGAAATATGGACCACCTGGAAACATCAAATTAACTAAGGTCAAAAGAGAGCAAAAGAAGAATAGATGAAACAATATTAGGAGACAAAATCTGAATTCCTTCTGTTCCAAGTAAGTTATCTGCAACATCTCACACATAAAGCTAAAGCCTCAACAACTTGAATTTTAGAAGCAAAATTATTAGCATCAACGACAACAATTATTAAAGTATAAAGTTAATAAATAACAATAATAATAGTTGTTCAAAGTAAGATAAATTAAATAATATACAACTCAAGCCTGAGAAACAACAACAAAAGGATCAACAATAATAATAAATGTGTAAAGTAACAGCAACTTAATAATAGTGTAAAGTAATATCTATTAAAAAAAAGTAATATCTATAAAAATACAACTCAATCGTAAGTATTGTCGTGTTATAGCCTTATAGGCATAGTCAGCAATAATTCACATCCGCTCCATATTTAAATGTAGAATTCAAATCTTCTTATTCTTAGATTTAAGGGAAAAAAAAAGTAATGAGCCCGTTTAGTTTGTTGATTCGAGTTGAGATGTAACTTTATGTGAAACCTTTTTATTGTAATAAAAAATTTAAATATAACTGTTTATAAAATTTTTTTACTATAACAAAACTCAAATTTTAAACTCGAATTATTGAAATGAACGGAGGCTACAAGTGCTTTGGTTGGCGGACTAATGATCACTGATCTACCAATTCAAACTTAGGATGATCCTACTCGTGTTTTCTTTTTCTTTTTTTTTGGTCCTTTTTTTTTCTCCCTTCTACTTCTTAATGAGAAACAAGTTCACCAACAAATATTAAATGAGAAAAGGGTAAATTAGGAACCGTCCTATTAATGAGCACACCTGCCTTGAGATGTTCCAATAAGAGTCGATGTTTTAAAGCCTCAAGCAACTATAAATGTTTTTTATTTTTCTTTTTGTTTATTTTTTTTTTTTTGTAGAAAGCAACTTGTTGTTTCAACTGTGCGGTAGCGGTGAAAAGTACCCTTTTTCCCCCTTGGTTTTTGGTTGCATTGAACAATTGCACTTTTATTTCCCTTTCAGCAGCTTTAAATTTTTCAAACTACTCATTGGTCATTTTAAGACCAGTCAATATTACACAATAGACTAGTACTATAACTCATTTGGTAAGGTTCCTTGCACCTTTTCGCTTTGATTACACCTATATATATATATATATATATCTTGTGTGTGTATATATATATATATATATATAATGGTCCAGTTAGTCCCACATCCTTGGTGACAATCCAAAGTACATTTAAGACTTGTTCGTGTTTTGTTGGCTATCAGTTTGGCAAGTGTGGCCTTAACTCACATGGCGTAAATGGGGCCAAGATATATGGAAAGACCCACAAACACAAACACACACACACACACACAATATAGTACATTAAAGTTGGATTGCACAAATTTATATCATTAGTTGGGGAGATCAAGAGCATTAAGTCCATTGTTTATTTCATTTTTCACATGAGAGAAAATGTCCATTCCTTTTAGAAATAATAATAAAAACAAGATGTGTGAGAATGTATTCAAGTTCAACTCTTCTTAATATGTATGGTATATTGATGACTCCTAATTTAGCAGCACTCCAAGTCCACGAAGCATATTTTGTTTAACAAATTTTTCATATTTTGTTGACTCCTACCAATTTATCTAGTAATATGCATATGCTCTATTATGGTCATTTATCAAATTTTGTTTATCACTAATAAGCAATAGTATCACTCGCACTATTTTTTTTTTTTTTTTTTTTTTTTTTTTTTTTTTTTTTTGGGTTTCCCCCTATCACTCACACTAATAGTAGTTGTGTTTCACCAAATTATTGTTTATCAATTAGTGTATGAAGCCCTACCTCTTCATACATATATGTGTGTATATATGCAAATGAAGAAAACGATTGCAAAAGAGAAGAAATCAGCCACATTAAAATTACTTTATGGGGAGGTCTATTTGATATCTAAAAACTACTCAACAGTAGGCAGACATAAAAAAAAATGTCGGTCTGACCACTCAATTAGCTTGAAACTTCTATAAATAACAGTCACAAATTGAAAGAAGGAAACGAAAAAAACAACACAAGAAAAAAAAATGGGTTTTCACCAAAACAAAAGTGTAACAAAAAATGGGGTTTTTTTTCCCCCTTCTTGGTCCGTTGGATTTCTATATATCTGCATGCTTCCAAAGTCCAATGATGCCTCTGTATGTATGTTTGTTTGTTTGTTCTTTTTAACCCATCCAAATTAAGAAAAGAAAGCGTATCTTTGAATCGTTCTATAGATGCCTTTCTTTCACTTGTTTCTTGCTCATCATGTAAAATTGGTGGTCTAAATTTGTAGACATAAAGTTCATATATATATATATATACATATATATATATCCTTCCAAAGCATAGTATACACATGTTTGTTCAGGATTTGTTTCCTCCTAGAGAGGAAAATGATATCTTAGAAAAGCTTCTTTTGGCCACACTATGATATATTGATGTCGGCCATTAAAGATGTCTCTATCTCCGCCTTCATCATTAATTACATTGTTTAATTATTCATCTAATGACAATTATTACTTAAACTAATAACTGTTTGACAACGAAACTGAAGACAAACTAAGGACATTAACGGAGTTGGAATTTAAAGTAGAGCTTGATGTGCAAGTTGTAATAACCAAATAGCCAACGTACTTAAATTATAATCGGAACTACTTAAGATTCAAAGACGTAATTAAAACTGTAAAGTGAAGATTTACTGTTAAGCTAAACATGGCTTGAGAAACCAACATAGGCGAGTTTGATATCGCTATGCTTTTTTAATTAAAGAATTTATGATTCTGCTTCCGTAAGCTTAAACGAAGAACTTTTTAGCTTCGCAAAAACTGCTGTGAAAAGTGGTTTATTTTGTGACGATCACTTTTTCTGTGTTTTACCAAATAAATTCATCTTTTTGAAGGTTGGTTTCTAAAATAGGTTTACCAACAAACCCTAGTTGTTACCAAAGTAACTGATAACCCGTTTTAGAAGCTAAAAATTTGAAAAGGACCCCTTTCATGTTTTGTTGTATATATTATTTTTTGCCCTTCCAAATTTTTTTTTTCTTTTCCCTTTTGTTTAGATATAAAACTCGAGAATCTTCTTCTATTACTAAGCAGAAAAGGGTAGGAACAAATGAAACAGTCCAAAGGCAAAGATGACAATTTGCAAGTCCTCCAAAATTGATTTTTCCAAGTCTGTGGTTCTAAGCAATTGAAGCCCCTATAAAATCTTATTGTCCCTTTAGCCTTATAGAACCGATCAAGTAATTACTAAATCTATACAATCAAGGTTCGTTGATTGTTTTTCCAACTTTGTTAAGCTAATTGACACTCAATTCCACGATTGCTATGCAGTTCAAAATTTATATTATTGATTGATTCTTACTTTTTCTCTTACACACACATATAAGACTACGACTTTTAATATAAGGCTGCGTTCTTCTTTTTTTTTAACGGATCTTTATTATAATTGTGTTCTACCTCGAATAATGCATGATTATCAAATCAATAATTAAACCCCACCCCACAATTTAATATATTAAATTATCCTTGCAGTTTTTATCACTAGCTAGTACCGGAAAAGTACATTAACTGTCGTTTGGTGAAGCCGATCAGATATAAGTCTGTCTTATTTTTATTTTTATTTGTATTTTTTGTGAATAATGAATATTCTATCTTAGTGAGTAATTATTGAGAAGAAGACAACAATAGAGAGAGAATATGAATATTCAATATAATTAATCAAGTATGAAAATAATAACATAAAATGTCCTATTTATAGTCATAGAAGTCCTAATAGTAATCAAACTCCTAATACTATTTAATCTTAAATAATCCTAATAGAACTCAAATAATCCTAATATAAATATTAAACAAAATAACTTTAAAATAACTCTAATTCTAATAGAATTCTAATCGCGTTCTCCATCACCTAGTTTTTGTGGTAGGTATTTATTTTCCTTTCTTGACGGCTCTTCTCAGATTCAATTGTCTACTCCGTGGCTTGATAGCCGGCTTGTTGTCATTGAGTCCTCCTCGTTAGCTATAGCTATTTGTTTTCTTCATTATTTTTACTGTTTTGTAATAAAAGCGTTGATACTTCCGCTTTATTAGTGTTAATTTATGTTGTTTTGTTATTATGTTAGTCTTGCAATATCGGAGATGGTTTCCCTGCCTTGACTTTGTCAATGTGTCCCACTCATTTATTGCATAGCATGGGTTATGGTATCCGATTAGATTTGATTCTATATCGTGTCGCTTGTGTCCCTATTACTTGAGGTTTAGTCTCGATCAACTTGGTTAATCCATCTACTGTAGTGGTTTTATCTAATAAGTCTTGGTCGCGCTCAATCTATATCTTTGGTGTGAATATAGTTATGGGATGATATTTGCTAATAATTTAAATATGGGTGGTTTGTAAGCGATAAGCTAGGGCCGAGAAGAACGTGGTGGGGTAAGGAAAGGTTTAATGGAGAAAAAAGGCAGAGCTTGGAGTTATTCGGTGGATGACACAATCATCAACACATAAAGACAAAAGACTGCTTTTGGGTTTTGTGTTGATTATTTCTCAAGTATGAGCCAACGCGAAAAGGTCACTGCGATATGGAAAATGTCCTGCCTAATCCATCCCTCTCTCACACAGCTACGGCTGCTTGTGGGCCCCCACCACCTTTTGTGGTTCTGCTTTATCCAATTATTCTTCACCCACCCTCATTTATGACATGATCAACCGCTTTCTGCTTCGTATTTATTGCGAAATTTTTGCAGAAACCCTAATACCTCTTTTTCACACAAACATTACTTACGCCTTTTTCATTTGGTCAATTTTTTAATTTAAATTAAAATGTAATTTTATATAATAAATTTTAACTGTAATATAAAAAATTAAATGTATTTTTTATGAAAATCGTTTGTTTCACAAATTTAAATTATGTGGTTTTAAACCTTTTGAATTTGAACAAAAAATTTTAAACCTATTTAGATTTATTCTTATTTAAATTGATGTTCGGAAGTGTTTAGTTTATACATAAAATAAAACATCACATTAGAGAATAAATTAGAAATAGAGTCATGATTTTAAATCATAAATACACTCTGTGTGTGTCTGGGTGTTTGGGGAGGTGGGGGTGTTAAATCCTCTAAACCCCACGATTTTGGGTTCACACGAGTTCTCATCACATTTCAGGTTCAAAATTGTAACAACCAAACATGAGTTGAAAACTGAATGTTGAGTTCAAACCGGAGCCATAAGTTGTAAACCCGTGAAACGAATGGGCTTAGTTTTTTTTATTTTTTTTTATTTTTTATGAATCATATGTTGCTAAAGAAAATACTAAAATATTTCTAATTTTCAGCCTTATTTTGCTATAATTTTAGAATCACCATTAATTATTGAGCTGGTGAATAAAATGACCGCCTGCTAAAATAAACATGCAATTAACAGAATTAGCACTTTGACAAAACACATATACATTAAAGCTATTTTTTATTTATTTATTAAGCGTGAGAAGAACCCGTTTGGTAAAAGGATTCATTCCCTGATTCGAATCATGATTTGTAGTTCGCTACAGTATTTTCTCTCATAAAAAATACACATAAATCGAAAATGGTTCTAATCACATGGTTCTAATCCATGAACTAAACAGGGTGCGGAAAAAAAATTAAATGAAAAGTAATCATTTAAAACAATTAAAATACATCAAAACAAAAGAAGTTACTTTCCTCCAGAGAAAAATCAAATGAATTATTTATTAGATTGATGACTCACTTTGTAGTTTGTTAATGGATTGGGTAGGTCAGCTCCAATAGTTCTATTAATGTGTATATATTTTTCCTTATAAAATAATTTTCATCGTGATCTTTCTTCTTTAATTTGTCTTCACTGCTAATATAAAAGGCTCTTTCAGAATCCTGGTTTTCAGGATTCCTATCTATGAGAAATTTGGTTGAAATTCAGTTTCAAATTTGGACGAAATGTATATACTAAAAAACCATACTCTTGACAAGTGGAATTTAACAAGTACCCGTGCATATGAGTGTTTTCTTTCTATTTTAGCTAGAGCATTTTTAATAATTATTACATGCATATAGTACATGTTTCACATAGAATATATAATATTACTAACAATATCCATTTTCACATAAACTGATATTGAAACCATATATCAGAATTCTAAATATTTTAAAAACTAATGGATTAGGAAGATTTATCAGTACACACTGAATAATTTATTGTATATATTATGAGTAGAAACGAAAATAGTATAAATGTAACATAATCTATACATATATATAATGTTATTTTTTATTATTATTATTTTGCTGGTCAAATGCATATAATGTTAGTTGAAAAGTAAGAAAAAGACCAGACACTAACCAACCCTAGCATTATTAACGTAGACATAGCATTAAATTTACTATTATAAACCATCCCATCTTCTATAAAAGGAGCCAAAACCAATAGCAAAAAAACGAAGGCCTTACACACACCTCTACCCCTTTCTCATATATTCCTCCAAAAACTCACCAAAATGGTCGACAACCGGCGACTTTCGGCCACCTTGAACGCGAAGATCGTCGGTTCGGGCAACGAAGCGGTGGTTCTAGCCCACGGCTTCGGCGGCGACCAGTCGGTGTGGGACAAGATAGTCCCTTTCTTGGCTCAACACCTGAAGGTTCTAGTCTACGACTGGCCTTTCTCCGGGGCTATCAAGGATGGCCTTAACCTTTTTGAACCCCACAAGTACTCCTCCTATGAGGGCTTTGCCAATGACTTGATTGGTCTCTTGGATGAGCTCGATTTGAAATCGGTCGTTTTTGTTGGTCACTCCATGTCTGCTATGATTGGATGTATCGCTTCCCTTAAGAGACCTGAACTTTTCAAGAGGCTCGTACTCATTGGAGCTTCTCCAAGGTACATATACATATATATATATATATATATATATATAAATTTTTTATGCTCAAAGATATATTTATATATGTTAATATAAATATACATACATAGATGTATTTAATTTGTATGAGCGTATACTACTTGTATGTGTTATTTGTATTCAATTAAATTGCGTTTTAATTCCAATAAGGAATTCCTATTAAGTTAGAATCTACAGGAAAACCTATTCTGCCTTAAACTCCTCCACTCATATTGTTATTATTATTATTATTTTTTTAAAAAGAAAAAGATGATTTCTCTTATATATTAGTAATATATATACACACAGATATAATCCTACCAATCAAATTCTTCATTCAAGATTTTTCTAGCTCTTTTTCGTCTGAAAATATGTGTATAATTCCCTTGATTAATCTGCTCTAGTCCCCAGATCATTTTCGTTCCTTTTCTTTTTTGAAGAAAGAGCTAGTAACTCATCATTTGTTTTTAGTGCAATATTTTTCCCCCATAAAACTTGTGGAGGAAAATTTTATTGAATAAATTAAAGAAAAAGACAAATAACACCAACAGCCAGGAGATGACTTGAGCAAGTTAAATTGCATTAACTTCTGTAGAATGGCATGCATTTAATGGTACTAGAGTTGCTGACACTTATGCGCATCATTTTTCTCTCTCTTTTAACTTTAGCTAAAAAATCCATAAATTTATGCAAAAGCTTGAGAAAAATTTGGGATCCGTTTAGTTCGGTGATTCGAGTTTTTAATTTGAGTTAATATGTAACTTTATGTGAGAGTTTTTTACTATAGTAAAAAATTTAGATATGACTGTTTCTGAGAGTTTTTTACTGTAGTAAAACTTAAATTTTAAACTCAAATTGATGAAATGAACGAGACCCTAATGTGTTCTTTTATTCTCCTGTACTGCCACTCTTTCGTTGTTTATTAAATTAAAAAGGGAAAATTTAATATTGGTATTCGTGTTTTAGTATAATTATTTTTTAGTATTATGTGTTTTTAATAATTTTTAATTGATATCTTAACATTTTAAAAAATTATTTTTTAGTACATTTAGATCATTTTTAGGATGTAAAATGTTAAATTTGTCATTCTCATTACTTTACTAAAAACTAATAAATTCAGAAAAAAATCAGAAAAATATATTTTTAATTTAAAGCAATATTTTTGTTTTAAAGTTTTAAATGTTTAAAAAAGTTCAGAATTTTTCTAAATTTATTATGAATTTTTTGTTTTATTAATGAAAATGGTAACTTTGACATTTTACATTTCAAAAAATGACTTTAAGATACTAAAAATGATTTTTTAAAATGTCGAGGTACTAATTTAAAAGTATTAAAAATACATAGTACTAAAAGATAATTATGCTAAAACACATGGTACTAATATGAAATTTTTTTAATTATAAAATAATAAAAAAAGTCAAGTACTTCTCTTACGTTTGGTTTGTATGTAATGAATGGGTATTAATCCTGTCTTCTATAATAAGATCCCTCATGGAAGAGATGATATCGTGATCTTGTGATCGATCTATTTGTGTGTGTTATGTGTTATTTGTTTTTGTATGTTAAGGAAAATAAAAGAAGAAAAACCTGTCCTAGGTCCACATGCAGTTTGTGAAATTCCTAGCGAGAGCTTCAATCAATATGTTAATTAAGTACTAACTGACTTTTCATTTTCTTTAATTTGACATTTTGGCTCTTTATCATAGATAATTTTCTTTTCATTAAAATATGAGAGTTTGTCTGATAGTCTCTGAAAAATTGAACTACCGGTAGTCTCTTATTTTTCAGTTATTATATTTGTATCAGAATTTGTCTGTTCAGTATATTTTTTTAATCTGATATGATTTTGACAAAATTTAACAATAAAAAAGTAATACTACTGATAGAACGGACTACCAGAAAAAAAATATTACTTGTGATTCATTCTATTCTATTGCATATACGCTAGCAGATGCTGAGAAATTTTTGCAATAAAAAAATAAATAACAGAAATTTGTCCTTTATTTTTTAATCATTAATTACTTTTAGCAAAAAATATATATAATTAATTAACTTGGTTTTGCTACTTCTTCCATGCATGTGAAGGTACATAAATACAGAAGGTTATGAAGGAGGATTTGAGAAGTCAGACATTGAACAAATCCTCTCAAACATAGAATCCAACTACTACAACTGGGCCTCACATTTCGCATCCCTGGTCGTGGACACAGCCGATCCTCTCTCCGTCACCAACTTCGAGAAATGCCTCACTAGGATGAAGCCAGATGTAGCCCTCCCATTGGCCAAGACCGTGTTCTACAGTGACGAGCGAGAAATCCTCGATAGGGTGACAATCCCCTGCACCATCATCCAGACTAACAGCGATATTGTCGTCCCAAACTCCGTTGGATTCTACATGCAGAAGAGGATCAAAGGAGAATCAACGGTCGAGATCATCAGCAGCACCAACGGGCATTTCCCTATGTTGACTGCTCACCTTGAGCTTCTTGAAGTGCTTGGAGTTGTCTTGGGATTTTACCCGTCTTAATATTTGGTTAATATAATAAACTAAAGTTTTTATTTTTTTCTCCAGTGAATCTTAATTAATTAGGAGAATAAAGTCGATGACAAATGCCCATTTGGAATTGGACGTTGTTTGTGTGCTCATCAATTTCATGCATGGGATGTGTATATGTATATAGGAGGTTTGATGGATTGTAGAATGTTTCTGTTTTAATTATTATATATTTTGGAATCTACACTAAGGGCCCGTTCACTTCACTAACTCAAATTTTATGATTCGAGTTAAAAAACTAGATTCGAGTTTCAAAAAAGTTGAGTGTAATTTGAAATTTGGAGTTTAGTGTTTAGGTGTTGACTATTTAACTTTTGAAACTTGAGTTTTGTGTTCACTTGCACAAATGCCAAACTCTAATTAATTTCAATATTGGCATGCATTTCTGTTATGTAAAAAACGTGAACATGGTGCATTTCCCACATTGGCATGCATTTCTGTTCTTCATAAGAATATATATATATATATATATATATATATATATATATATATAACATATATATAAAAAACTAATCTATCAACGCCGGTTGTTCTCAACCAAGTAATACAGAAAAACTAATCTATCAACGCCGGTTGTTCTCAACCAAGTAATACAGAAAAACTAATCTATCAACGCCGGTTGTTCTCATATGCAGCCCACATACTATTAGCTATTTCATCCCTTAAAATGTGCATTTGTCGTCGGTGTGGACGGTTTTGATGTTGTTGGCTTCCCCGATCAGGATTGTGATTTTGATTCACATCTTGCTCTGTGTTGAGTGGATCAATTTCTGCTACCGGAATGGCGTCTCTCATGTATTGGGTTAGTAGATCATCGTTGTGGTTGTACATATGTATGAAGTTGTGTAGAATAGCACAAACAAGTGGAATATCTATTTGTGTCTGTATCGGGTAGTTATTAATGCACTTAAGAATACGAAACCTGGCTTTCCAGACGCCGAATGTGCGCTCGATACAGTTTCTGAGGGAAGAATGAGTGTAATTGAATAGCTCACGCTGAGTTTGGGGCCGACCCCTCCTTGCCCGATACTCTTGAAGGTGGTAAGTGCTCCCTCGGTACGGTGCCAAGAAACAATCATTGTTTGCGTACCCAGAGTCGACGAGGTAATATTTACCTGTTGTGTGCGTTAGAATATATTACGTGAATGTATTAGTTCCACATGGAAGCACAAACGTGTAGTTTTCGAAAAGTAATGAAAGATCAAGCTTACACATACCTTCTGGTGGAGTAGGGAAATTTTTTTCCCTCGTTTCTGTTGCGGATGCAAGCACACGTGCATCATGAGCAGAGCCCTCCCATCCAGCTAACATGTATGTGAACCTCATGTCGAACGAACAGACTCCTAATACATTTTGAGAGAAGAACCCCTTCCGATTTCTCCATACCTCAGCATTTGCAGCGGGTGGAACACATGGTACGTGAGTACCATCCAGAGCGCCAACACAATTCTACGTAGTAACTAATTACCATACACAACAACGCAATTCTACATATTTATCTTAAAGAGTAATTAGTTTAGAAAAAATACCTGGAACCATGGCAGATACTTGTTTCCACGCGCGGCTACGACAGGATCGATAATGTCGAAGTTTGGTGGTGTAAGGAAGTTAAAACGGAGCTCATACAACGCCTTCAAAACAGCGTGGAAGTACTTTGAAATGGTAGCACCCGAATGCTGCCATTGATCTTGTGACTCCCTGTTGTTTGAACTTTGACATACAATGTATAGAAAAATAAAAAGTTGCTCGTGCACATTCATATTCCTAGTCGGTCTTAAAAGCCCTTTAAGCTCAAGTAACGTACTAAGACGCTTGAAACAATCACTTCCCATTCTAATCTTCGACCTAATAACGTCCTCATGTCCATCAAGTAGGTATTGAACACGCATTATACCTGTGAGTGCGGATGTATGCTTTGGTTGAGGCAGGGGTCTTTCCATGTATGTGTAGTAATACCACAAAACTACTGCTACTGCCGCAATCTCATAATCGTCATCTGAGTCGTCACTATCATCATTTTCAGGAACGTGGTTTGAGGGACCTGCATTCCACATTGCTACCTGCGAGACATGCATAATGAAAGGATAACAAACGAATATATATGAAATGGTCATTTGATCCGCAAGTAAAGGTGACTACACATAGTACATCAATAAATATTGTTCTGCGCAATGCAACTCAATAACCATAATCAATACAACACCAGCAGGGCCGTAGTAAACATAATTAGCAAAGTCTACTCAAATACTATGTTGAAATCTAAAAATGAGAAATGATGTTCAATCGTATGAATACAGACAATGGTAAAAACAATATTTTATGGAACTCAATGCTGGTCTGGACTGCCATCGCCACCAAAGTGTCCCGGTTGCGGCGGAAAGTGAGGCATGTAGTATGGTGTTTGGGGATTATACGCAGCCGGTTGTTGGGGATTGTAGTTTTGGGGATTTGTAGGAAATGGTGGGACAGGTTGTTGTCCCCCAAAGTTTGGGGGCCGTGGCATATTGTTGGTGGGTTGTTGGCCATAGAAGGGAGCCGGTTGCATATAGCTGCTGGGTTGTGACATGAAGTTGGGAAATTGTGGCGGCATAAACTGTGTCCCCGTAGAGGCATGGGGGTTTGAGAAAGGTCCATGTGATTGAGTCCTAGACATACTGATTGTTCTTGTCACGAAGAAGTTACGTTGAGTATCACTCATTCCCACGAACAGCTTCTGCATATTTGGATACCAAGCAATAGCCTCCAAAAACATTATTGCGGTTTCATCATCAAGCGCCATTTCCCTAACTATGCCCTGGCATTGGTCCTGGAGATCGACAATAGGCGCAGCTTGATTCGCACTAGAGCTTTTAGTGCGACTACTACGCTTGCTTTCAATAGAAGAGACAAGCTTGCCGATTAAATCCCTCGCTACAGGGTCACATATTACCTTATGTGAGGACTTGGCTGATTTCTTGCCAATCGCTTTGGAGGATGACGCAATGTTGAGACCTCTAGCTGCATTGTTCAAACCGGCCCGCATGGAGGCAATGAAACCATCTTCGCTGCCACCCTCATCAGATGTCGCCCTTTCTTCGTCGGAGATGTGTACTGGACCCTCATCTATGTTCGTTGGATTATCCAATCCCTTCTCAAATGCCCCACTTGCCCTCGTACCACCAAAGGCCTCATAGTACAAGTCCCAATTTTTAAGAGGCTGATTCTTTGCCGATTTTGCCCATTTCTTGTTCTGCATATGAATGAGCAAACAAAATGACCTTGGCAAAATATTGCAAGAATTGACTACCCATAGAACAATAATTGTTTAGACGTTTACCTTGGCAAAATCTTCCCAATATTCATCAGTGCATGTCACAGCACCGGTAACAGGGTCCCAGCCAAGTCCTGTGTTATTGCGTAATGTAAGCTCATGGTCAAACTTGGCTTTGAGTCGGACTTTCATCTGCTGCACTTTGGCAGGGGTGACTTGATCCTTAAAGAACTGTTGAAGATGTTGCGCCCAATCCTCCCATGTTTTAGAATCCGGTTTTCGACCGTTGGCATCACGATTGTAGGCAGCGAGTCGCATAAGCAACTCCTCTTTCTGCCTTTCAGTCCAGTGTAGAGTGGCTTCATCGTCGGGTTTCCCTCTCGGCATCTAAAAATAGGAAAGAAAGAAGCGTAACGACGCACAAGAAGAATGGCCGTACGCGTGAGTCAGATATTTGAAACAATCTAACGACTAGACACAGTTATAAATGGCTCCGAACATTTTTCGAACATCACTGCCATTAACCAACGTACTATTACCTGGTTTATACATGTAACAAGTGAGGCAATGTTATTACTGGCTCAGAAATTTTGTAGCTGAGAAATCGCAACAACACTCGGAGCATCATCCTTATAAGCAGGAGTGACGTAGCTGCCATGCTTCAGAGGCACTCGATAAATTCCAATGAAGCGATAACTAACTGTCACATTGCCTACAGGACGCCACTACGACGAGTGTTCTAATTTTTGAACCAATTTCATCATTGCCAACATTACCTGTTTGTTAAGCGGTCATGTGCGATACAACCATAGGGGAGTCAATACACTAACAGCAGAGGCAGTAGATCCACAGGGGAGGCAATAAGCTAATGTAAAAACGGCAACAGGATAGCCAATACAACAATAAGAGAGTCCATAAGCTAAGGTAAAAACAGCAACAGCAGAGCCAATACATCCACAGGGGGAGGCAATAAGCTAGGTAAAAACGGCAACAGCACAGCAAGTACAACAATGGGAGATGCCATAAGCTAAGGTAAAAACGGCAACAGCAGAGCCAGTACAACAATAGGAGATGCCATAACCTAAGGTAAAAACGGTAATGGAGAGAATATACGACAATAGGGGATGCCATAAGCTAAGGTATAAACGGCAGTGGAGATAGTATACGACAACAGGGGAGGCAGGTAATAAGCTAAGATATAAACGGCAACAGGAAAGCCAATACGATAGCAAGGGAGGCAATAATCTAAGGTAAAAACGGCCATAGGACAGCCAATACGACAACAGGGTAGGTAATAAGCTTATGTATAAATGGCAACAGGAGAGACAATACGACAACAAGGGAGGCAATAAGCTAAAGGTAAAAATGGCCACAGGACAGCCAATACGACAACAGGGTAGGCAATAATCTAAGGTAAAACGGCAATAGGATAGACAATACGACAACAGGGGAATAAACAAGCTAAGGTAAAAACGACAACAGCCAAGGCAATACGAGAACAGGGGATGCAATAGCCACAGGGACAAACGACAACAGTTGAGGCAATACGACAACAAGTAAGAGAACATCGTGACTGCGAACGACAACAGTGGTCTCACTACACATTAGCATCACAATACAAACGACAAGGAATATGTCTCACGTTTCCATCACAATGCAAACGACAACCAATATCTCAGCATCAAATCAGTGAAAACGAAGAAGAACTACGGTGCGATCATGACAAATCCAGAACAAATAATGGTATATAGGAGATTAGTAGTTGTGAAATATCATACCCGGTTGGAACCAGTTGAGGACAAAGGCTTATCGTCTATCAAAACCCCCAAACGCGATCGTGAGGCAGCGCGTACGACGGCTTGACACCGGAACCGCCGATGGTAACCTCTCAACGGAAGATAACCAGTAGATGCAAGATTCTTCCGTTTGACTCTACATCGACGCAATAAGACGGCCAACGGAGTTTGCCGGTTGCATCGAGGCGGATGAATGGTATCCGTGATGAAGATTCAAGGGCAGGGGCGGGGAACACTTCTAGGGTTGGGCATGCAACAAGAAATCGAAGCAAAAATGGTGGAAATAGGGGAGAGGTTTACCTTTTTTCGCTGCGGATCGACAAAGTAACCGATTCGAGTAACCTTCCCCCAATGGAGAGAGTCAATTTTCACTCTAAAAATCTGCAGACAATAGCTTTTTTCAGAGTGAAATTAGAAGGGGGAGGCAGGAACCAGGGTCCAGCGGGCAAAAAGCATAGAGAAATCTGCACTGGGGAGGCAGGAACGAGGCAGCAACGGGAAGAAATCAGGAATCTGCACTGTTCAAGCACATGAAAACACTGTAGAAGCACACTGCAGTAATGGAAAAACGAGTGGTGTGCCAAACTCTGAAATCAGAGTTATTACTCGAGTTTCACACTCGAGTTTTGGTTAATGAACGTAAAACGCAACCCAAAATTCAATTCGAGTGGGCTGTATTCGAGTGGGATACATGAAGTGAACGGGCCCTAAGATAGTTGAGATTTGAGAGATTCAATGTTGTTCTTTTGGAGTGTAACTTGAGTGTAGTTTTTGAGTTGAATTTGAGTTATAACTTGAGTTAAAGTTGTAACTTGAATAAAGTTGAGTAAAGTTGAATAAAATTAAAATTTAAAAGAACATGAACTTGAATAAAGTTGGAACTCGAATTGTCTTTTTTTTTTTAGTTTTTTGGACAAAAGAATTGAAGTTTTGAGTGATACATATATTTTTGGCCTCTTTTTTTTTTCGCACAATCCCTGATAACTTATATATATATATATATATATATATATATATATATATCATGTTTCATTCTATTTGTAAAAAAAATTTTAAGAATCAACCATACCAAGAGAACTAATATCACTATTGTATGCAGGGCAGCTAAATCAAGATTAACCACTTTTATAACGGTTAACAACAACAACGACCACTCTATTGTCATTATTAAAAATACCAATAAGAGTAAATTAAGGAATCACTTAACTGAATTCTTTAGTTTTATACCAATATTCTCTTAAAATTTGGCCCCTCTTAAGTTGATATATATAATGGGAAAATAAAGACAAAAGACTTATATCCTAAAAGAAAGAAGAAAAAAAATGGTAAATCTTTATGCCTAGAGCGAGAGGGACATTCCTCTAGATTTTCCAAAAACGACAACAAAATAGACCACTCTATTTGTGGCTGTTTGTACTAGTTTAAGCCCAACAGAAACCCAAACCCACACGAGTGGGTTCATGACGCAGGAGCATTATGGAGAATTGTTGTAAACGCCCAATTCCATCAATGGCGTGACTTTTACCACCCTTGTGAAATTATTACAATATGTCTCTCTCAATATGGTGTGCAGACAAAAGTGTCATGTTTCTCCAAATTTAGAACTTGTTTATTTACCCTTAAATTTAAAAAAATTTAAACTCAAGTTATAACTTTACTCAAGTTCGTCTTCGTTTGTAAAATTTGAGTTTGAACTTGAGTTTGGAGCTAAAATCTGAGTTCAAGTTCCCCCTTCAACTCAAGTTCCTAAACTCAAACTCAAGTTAATGAATAATATTTTTTCTATTATTAAAAACACCATAACTTTTTCATTTTAATTCCGATTGAGATGATTTTTTTCTATGCGTTCACAACGAAGAAATAAATAAAACCCCACCTATATACCTATTAAAATTTTTCATCACCATTGAGTTTTTATTAAAATACTATTCAAATACAAATTCAAGTTTTGACTCACCCAAACACAAACTCAAATATATTCTCAATTTAAACCATAACTCAAAATGTGCACATCCAAACATAAACTCAAATTAAAATCTTAACTCAAACCATACTCAAATACACATTCACTCAAATCAAGATCTGTCTAACTCAAAAATGCAAATGAACAAACCACATTAATCAATCCATCCCCTACCACTACCCTTGCCCCGCCCCCTACCACTACCCTTGCCCTAGTGTTGTTGTTTCCAGAATCTTTCAGAATATCTTAGGTAAAGGTGCGAGAAAGATATTCACTCCTATATGATGCTTCATAAGATGGAGATTTGTTGCTATAAGCATTGTGAACAAATTTTAAAAAAATCATCTCAATTGAAATTATTAAAACGAAGAAATTATGATATGTTTAAATTTGAAGTTGAATGGAGAGAGAAAGTAAAAAGGAGTTGCTTTTATTGTAGCACAATCATTCAGATGGTTGAATTTACCGGGGGTATGAATTATGATTTTAAACGTTCGAATTGAGGTTAGAGGTTTGAATGATTCTTAATTTTTACTAAAACAAACACCTATTTGAATTGTTGGGTTTGATTCAAATTGGATTTAAAGATCCAAATAGCTGAAACAAACAAGGGTTAATTTTCAAAATATAAATAAGGGATTTTCTTCAGTGTTTTTTATATTTAATCATTAAATCTGTATTAAAATTTATTTATTATGCATATTTTTAAATCAAATGTAATTTTAATTAAATTTAATAATTAAAAAAATACAAAACACTGATGTTCTAAAATAATAAGGAACACCGAGAAACTCTCCGTTAATAATAATATTATTATATAGTACCGGAACAGAGTGTCCATAGGTATCATTGAAGGATACCATTCTATCTTGTGCGGTATTCTAAAGGGCAATCATGTCAAATAACGAGCTGCCCCAGATCCTCCACGTCACATATTCTCCGTCACCGTTTTCTGCGCCCATCCAATTGAAATTCAACCCGTCATCTTCAAGCAGAAAACGCCTCTAACGGACGTTAATGAACATCCTTCTACTAAAGTCTCCGTCAGGAACAGAGTTAGCGAAAGTCATGACGCTCGGAGCTACAACCCAACTTCTCACCAAATCTTCGAAGCTCTTCCTGAACTCAGCAACTCGGACTCAGCGACTCAGCGATTTTCTCAACCTTTCTTCTCTTGGCAAAGCCTCAATCTCGATCCGAACCTTCGCGATCATGGCCGCCGCCGTCGACGATTTCGTCAAGGGAAGCGTCCACCCCAACGGCGTCGCCGTCATCACCCTCGATCGCCCCAAAGCTCTCAACGCTATGAATTTAGGTTTCGTTTTTATTTTTGTTTGATTGCTCTTGAGATTACTGTTGAATTGTTAAAATGTGGAGTTTGTGGCTGATTGTTGAATTTGGAGATGCGAATTTGGTCATCTTCGCGCGTTGATTAGTGAAGTCCTTTTGATTGCGGGAGTGAATTTGCTGGTGTAGTAGACGATTCTGATTAACGCCTAAAGGCTAAATTTTAAAACTCGACGGTCTTTTGTAAAGATTATTTATCTATCTTCTTATCTATAAAGCTTTTTAATTTATTTGTATCTTTATTTTCTTATTTCAAACGAACTAAGGCATGTGATCGAGTCTAATTTAGTTTTTGAAGTTTATTGCACACTTATTAGCTCATAAATTATTGTTGTTGATTTTTGGTTTAATTAGCATTTTAAGTTTGAAATGCTGAATATTAAAAGTCAAAATTTGGAATATAATAATTTTTTTTTTTATAAAAGAAATCATGTAAAATATTACAATTAAAAAGTTTCATGGGGGAAAACCAAGAACAAATTGTAAAACAAATTTTTATGGAGAAAGAAGTTTAATGGAGCCCCTTGGTTCGCGACTGTCAATAGGAGTTTATACATGTCTGTGTTGTGTGTTCGCGGTTTGGGTCAGATTAGGTTTGTGTGATGCAGGGCTTAGAAAAATGTATTTGGTTGATCAATGGGCAGAGTTCAAGAACACAAACAACAACATTCTCAAACTTGCTTGACTTTTGATTGGGATAGGAAGTGAACTGGGGATTTTTTGTGAATGCAGATATGGATATAAAGTACAAAAGTTATCTTGATGAGTGGGAATCAGATCCAAGGGTGAAATGTGTTCTGGTAGATAGCAGCTCACCTCGCGCCTTTTGTGCAGGTAATATGCAGATAATATGATTCTGTGAATTCCTGTGTAGTTGGTGATCATTGCATTTAGGCATGTTGTTTACTTTGCTTTCGTGACATTCTATTGTTATGATTTCTCCGGTTCATGTTAAATGTTCTAGGCATTTTTCTGTATTTTGGGAGATAATTTTGTTCTGAGTGATGGTAAGAATTTCAGGGTGATCAATCATGGGTGATGCAGGTATGGACATTAAAGGGGTTGTCGCTGAAATTCAAAAGGACAGAAACACTCCTCTTGTTCCGAAGGTTTCTTCGTAATACTCGTTTGGTTTACTTGTGTTTCTTCATAACACTTGTTCTGACGGTTCTATAGTGTTTCTTGCTGGGTGCTTTGATCATAACTATTGACCTGCTTTTAGTTGTATGTTTCAGACTATGTAATTCATTGCCTTTCTCATTCTTTGTTTAGATGTAGTTTGAGACAACTTATGTTGGTTTTTGTTTGTTGACTTGCGTAATAGTTGTTCAATATGATGATCCAGATCTTAGTTTATCTGCAGGTGGTGATGTGAAGCAGGTCACAACTAAAAACCAATTGTCAGATATGATTGAGGTCTTGTAGTGTCCTTCTAACTATATGACATTGGATTTATAACTTTATGCTCTTTTAAAGTTAAACTAAAACGTGACTGGCTTGCTACCACATTCTCTGCAAAATACGTCAAGTTTCTTGCTGACCGTTTATCTCACACGAACATGATCCTATAATTCAAGTAACTCCAGATCATTTTCTGAATATCGCAAATTCTTTTAGAAAAATGCAGAACCCTTAAAATGTGTTCTCAGGCAATTCTCATTTTGGCGTATCCTAATTTTGCTCTTCTAAACCTACCATCTTTGATGCAAATCAAGTCTTTACCATTTGACATTTAAACTGTCATGTGGGGATAGCATCTACTGTCGGACCAAAGATGTAATTGGCATATTGCTAAACGTAAGGCTAAGCAAAATTCACCGACACAATTCTGCTTTGAGTCTAGTTGGCTTTATGATAAATCATATGCATGTGCGTCTTTGTTGGTGTGAGAATTTGAGACCAAAAACCGAAACCAAGAACACCAGAAAAACAGAGAACAAATATGCATGAAGAATAGACAAAGAAAGTGAGAATTCTGGAACAATTCAACTGGAATTTTATTGACAGCAAAAACCCCTTTCTCAAGTCTTTACACCCTCAAGAAAGTTCTCTCTCAAACTCAATCTCACTGTACACAAGAATGTTTCTCTCTACGCATAACACTCAGAAGAAAAGAAGAAAGAACAGAGAAGATAAAACTAGTTTCTGGAACTATCTAATATATCCACCTAATGGCCTTATCTACAATCTTGATTCTCTGTAGTCATGCTCACCAAAACTCTCCTGTTATGTGGACTGAGTCAACCACTTGCTTGCCACGTCACAAGACGAGTTGCAGCCATATCACAACAATTCTCCACCTGGCTGCAATTTCCAGAACACTTTGCCACATCCAGACAGCACCTGCATTGATATCCTTCACTTCCAGCAAATCAAGACAATGTTTGAACTTTGGTGAAAACAAAGCTTTAGTTATCATATCAGCTGGATTTTCATCTGTAGAAACTTTCTCCAGAATAACCTCCTTCTTAGCTATGACTTCTCTGATAAAATAGAATCTCACATCTATATGTTTGGTCCTTTCATGGTATACTTGATTTTTAGCCAAATGTATTGCACTTTGACTGTCACAATACACTTTGGTAAACCCATGTTTCTCTCCTAATTTTGCTGTAATTCCTTTTAACCATTTAGCTTCTTTTATAGCTTCAGTTAATGCCATGAACTCAGCTTGCTGCAAGTTAGCTTTCCAAGTAACAACATTACCACAAACCTTGAACACATATCCTGTAAGTGACCTCCTGTTATCAACACACCCTACATAGTCCGAATCCACAAATCCAACAACAGTCTCCAAATTCCTTTCATATTTTCTGTACAGCAATCCAACTCCTGTCGTTCCTTTTAGATACCTGAACAGCCACTTCACAGCTTCCCAATGAGCCTTCCCTGGTTTGGCCATATACCTGCTAACCACACTTACTGCATATGCAAGGTCCGGTCTTGTACAAACCATTGCATACATTAGGCTTCCCACTGCATTGGCATAAGGTATTTTCTCCATGTAAGCTGCTTCTTCTTCACTTGATGGTGAATCCTGCTGTGAGAGCTTGAAATGCTGGCTCAAAGGTGTCAAAACTGGTTTACATTCCTGCATTTTGAACCTTTTAAGCACTTTCTCTAAGTAACCTTTCTGAGAAACAAACAAGGTTTCTTTGTGCCTGTCTCTGACAATATCCATACCCAAAATCCTCTTGGCAGGACCTATATCTTTCATCTCAAACTCTTTCTTCAGCTGCTGCTTCACCCGGTCTATATCAGCCTTGTTCTTGCATGCTAAAAGCATATCATCAACATATAGGAGAAGATATATAATATCTCCACCTAACCCATGCTTACTGTACACACAATTATCAAATTTGCATCTATTGAAGTTGTTTTGAATCATAAAGGAGTCAAAACGTTTATACCATTGCCTTGGAGACTGTTTAAGTCCATATAAGGACTTCTTCAATAGACAAACCAAACTTTCTTTACCTTCCTCCAAGAATCCCGCAGGTTGAGCCATGTAAATGTCTTCTTCAAGTTCACCATGTAAGAAGGCTGTTTTCACATCTAACTGTTCCAATTCCATATCATCTTTTGCAACCAATGACAAGAGGATTCGAATGGAACTATACTTCACAACTGGTGAGAAAACTTCATTATAATCTATTCCTTCTCTTTGGGAGAACCCTTTAGCAACCAATCTTGCTTTAAACCGAGGTGCCTCCACTCCAGGAATACCTTCTTTGAACTTGTACACCCATTTACATCCAATAAGCTTTTGTTTTGGAGACCTTTGAACTAGCTTCCACGTGTGATTCTTGTGTAAAGACTTCAATTCTTCTTCCATTGTTGCCATCCATCGATCGCAATGTCTGCTCTTTACTGCTTCTTGAAAGGATTTTGGTTCAAAATCCTCAACTTCTGAAGCTGCAGTCAAGGCAAATGCTATCAACTCTGCATACCCAAACTGCTCTGGTGGTTTTACCTGTCTTCTCTGTCTATCCCGAGCCAATGAGTAATTTTGCAGCTGATTTTCATCTGCAGCCTGATTAGTGAATTTTGATGCTGTCTCATCATCATCCTCTGCATGGTCTTCACTAAAGCCAACCTGGTTGCCTGATTGCTGTGAAGTCTCCACCTCAAGCTGCACTTTTTCTGCTTGTTGATTGTTGTCACCTTTCATTGGCTGGGTCTCACTCTTGTCTGGCTTGGAGTAATACATTTCAGTCTCTCTAAAAGTGACATCTCTGCTGTTGAACACCTTTGGATGCCCCTTTTGTACACACCAGAGCCTATATCCTTTCACACCTTCGGGATACCCCAGAAACATACACCTGAGTGCTCTAGGCTCTAGTTTTCCTTGGTTTATGTGGGCAAAAGCTGTGCATCCAAACACCTTTAAGTTTTCCAACTTCGGAGGGTGACCATACCACTTCTCTTCTGGTGTTTTGAGATCAATAGCTATTGATGGACTTCTATTGATCAAATGTGCCGCAGTCATTACAGCCTCTGCCTAAAAAACTTTTGAAAGATTGGCATTCGAAAGTAGGCACCTAACTCTTTCAAGAATGGTCTTATTCATTCTTTCAGCAAGACCATTTTGTTGGGGGGTTTTTCTCACAGTATGATGCCTTGCTACTCCTTGATCTTAACAAAATTGAGTGAACTCATTCCCACAATACTCCAAGCCATTATCAGTTCTCAACCTTTTAAGTTTCTTACTAGTTTGGTTCTCTACAAGAGTTTTCCATTCCTTGAACTTTTCTAAAGCATCACTTTTGTTCTTGAGAATATAGACCCACAATTTTCTGGAATAGTCATCAATTATGGACAGAAAATACCTTGCTTCGGAGTGAGATGGGACTGTAGATGGTCCCCAAAGGTATGAATGAACATACTCCAGGATTGCCTTTGTGTGGTGTACTGCCCTTGAGAATTTTACCCTGCTAGCCTTCCCATAAACGCAGTGCTCACAGAAGGGCAGTTCTTGTAGCTTGCTTTCTCCTAGAAGACCATGCTTGTTCAGCTCCTTCAAACCTTTTTCACTGATGTGAGCCAGCCTCATATGCCAGAGTTGTGTTTTTGAGATGCCAATCCCTTCGGCAGGTGTTGCAACTCCCACAACTGTTCTTCCTTGAAGCAAATATAGGCCATTTTCAAGTGATCCTTTCATTACAATCATTGATCCTTTAATGACCTTTAAGACCCCTCCTTCAACCTTGATACAATATCCTTGTGAGTCCATTATGCCTAGAGAAATCAAATTTCTCCTCAGCTCTGGAACATGCCTTACACCAGTTAGGATTCTTTCCACACCATCTGCCAACCTCAACCTTATGTCTCCTATTCCTATAACATTACAGGCCTTGTTATTACCTAGCAATACCCGTCCACTATTGCATACCCTGTAATTTTGGAACCAGGACTTGTGAGGGCTCATGTGAAAAGAACATCCGGAGTCCATTACCCACTCCAAACTGGTATTCTCTGCTGCAACACACAGTAGCTTAGAACTTTCATAACCGTCTGAGGCTGCATCTGCATCTCCAGTCTCTTTGTGTTTGTCACCTCCCTGTTTCCTTCTTTCTGGACAATCTTTCTTCAAATGACCCTCCTTGTGGCATACAAAGCACTTTCTTTTATACTTAGGTTTCGATCTTGGCCTATTCTTGTTCTTAAAATCACGTCTCTCTGATCTTCCCCGAACATTTAGGCCCTCAGCTACGTTATCATCTTTTCCCTCAGTCTTTTTCTTCAATTCTTTTGAAAACAAAGCCGATTGAACATCTTCTAAAGAAAGTGAATCACGCCCAAAAATAAGAGTATCTGAGAGATTTTCGAACTCACTGGGTAATGACCTTAACAGAAGCAAAGCTTGATCTTCATCTTCAATCTTGATCTCAATGTTCTCGAGATCCAAGATTATCTTGTTGAAGTCGTCCATGTGATCTTCCAAAGACTTCCTAGGAGCCATCTTCAATGTGTACAATCTTTGCTTGAGATACAACCTATTGGCCAAAGATTTGGTCACGTATAGGTTTTCCAGTTTGAGCCACAATGCCGCTACTGTCTTTTCTTTGGAGACCTCTCGTAGAACTTTATCACCCAAGCTGAGAATCAAAACGCTGTGGGCTTTATCAAGAAGATCATTTTTCTCCTTCATCGATAACGATGTCGACAGGTTCATCTCACCACCGAGAGCCTCCTCCAATCCTTGTTGAACCAGCAATGCCCTCATCTTCAACCTCCATAGCGCAAAATCATTCTTCCCTATGAATTTCTCGATCTCGAATTTCGACAGCCCCATTCTGAATCTCCACCAGAAGCTCTGATACCAAATTGTGAGAATTTGAGACCAAAAACCGAAACCAAGAACACCAGAAAAACAGAGAACAAATATGCATGAAGAATAGACAAAGAAAGTGAGAATTCTGGAACAATTCAACTGGAATTTTATTGACAGCAAAAACCCCTTTCTCAAGTCTTTACACCCTCAAGAAAGTTCTCTCTCAAACTCAATCTCACTGTACACAAGAATGTTTCTCTCTACGCATAACACTCAGAAGAAAAGAAGAAAGAACAGAGAAGATAAAACTAGTTTCTGGAACTATCTAATATATCCACCTAATGGCCTTATCTACAATCTTGATTCTCTGTAGTCATGCTCACCAAAACTCTCCTGTTATGTGGACTGAATCAACCACTTGCTTGCCACGTCACCAGACGAGTTGCAGCCATATCACAACAGTTGGTTATTTATTGTTCTTATTAGATTGGTAAATTGGTTTTGATATATATTTTTTTTTATTAAAAAAGGCAGGAATTTGTATTATGCATCATTATACATGAGCTGCCTTAAGACCAAGTCACATATTTACAATTACTAGATGTTAATACGCCTTTTTTGCTATGCTGTTGTGCAGGTTTTCTCTGCTGAGTACTCTCTGATATGCAAAATCTCCGAATACAAGAAGCCATATATAAGCTTCATGGATGGCATCACAATGGGCTTTGGGATTGGTCTGTCAGGTCATGGTCGCTATAGGATCATAACAGAGGTATATATGTCTTGTCCTGTATTCCTTTAATATTATCATTTACGTTGTGATGTTTCTGAAGTATTTCTTAATCTTTTATATTGTCTTGATGTGCTGCAGAGAACAGTTATTGCTATGCCTGAAAATGGAATTGGTTTGTTTCCAGATGTGGGGTTTTCATACATCGCAGCACAAAGTCCTGGAGGAGGATCTGTTGGTAAGATTTTGTTATTCTGAATCGTAGTTTGTTTGTTGCTTAAATACTTTTTTTAGGGCCATTTTCCTTAAAAGTCAATTATTGTAGAAACTAACAAGAAACAAAGAGTATCGGAAGTAGTTATAAATAGGACATGGACATAAAAATTAGGAAGGTTTTTTTTTTTTCCTTCTTTTGTGGCAATGGAGAAAACAGTTTGTGAACTCTTTTTTTACTGTGTATATGAGCTCCTTATTTTTCTAACCAATATTAATATTCCTAGGTGTTTACCTTGGATTGACTGGAAAAAGGATTAATACGCCCTCAGATGCACTTTATGTTGGCCTTGGATCACACTTTGTGCCGTCTGGAAACTTAGCTTCACTGAAGGAAGCCCTTTTGTCAACTAACTTGTATGTACCTGATCATCTTTGTACATTTAACTTTCTTACCTGTTACTTTTGAGTTTTCCATAGATGTCGTTACCCTGTATAATAACTCCAAAATCAGTACAGTTCCCAGGATCCACATGAAGATGTCAAAGCAGTTGTGGGAAGATTCAATAGCAACCCTGGGCCTGATGCTCATTTAAGTGTGCTTTTACCTCAAATAATTTCGTCTTTTGGTGGAAATAAGTCAGTTATTGACACAATTGAAGAATTGAAAAGATACCGGCAGAGTTCAGATGCAACCGGTAAGTTATCATTTATTTTTCAGTATAGAGAGTAAAACACTGCATGCATTGCACCTTACTTTTGGAGACCGAATGCCATTGTCATGTAGCGAGTCTATTCATTTCACATTTACTGCTCTTTCTGATTTTCATGTTCCCCGTGTAGTGGTGGAGTGGGCAAATGAAGCTCTTCAAGGCATTGCAAAAGGTGCTCCTTTTTCACTTTCTTTGACACAAAAATATTTCTCCAGAGTTGCATCTGCGCTAGGAAAAAGTGACAATGAGTTGTCCACGGTGAGTTTGAATGTTTTTCTTCATTGTCAATATTGTTGCATCCTTTAAAGAGTTCTGTTTCATTAGCAACTCTGTATTTAAGTGACGCTTACACATTTCCTATTTGGGGCGTCGTCCAGCTCATCAGCGTAATGAAAACCGAATATCGCATTGCCTTGAGATCTTCTTTGCGAAATGATTTTGCTGAAGGTGTTCGAGCAGTTCTAGTCGATAAGGATCAGGTACTCCAATTATATTCTCAAGCATTCCTGAAAGAAAGTTGAATCCACTTTGTATAAAGAAATGTACAGTAACAACGGCTGTGTTATTTTGTTCTTGCAGAATCCGAAGTGGAATCCTCCGAGTTTAGAGGAAGTTGATCACAGCGAAGTGGAAGCTGTCTTTGAACCATTGAGTCCGAATGTTGAGGAACTGCGTGTCTAACTTACCAACGTAGTGCTTTTTTCAGCATTGAATTGTGATATTGAAGGGCAGTAGTTAACTAAATATATACAGGCGGAAATAATGTAATTTTAGGCGTAATAAAAGATCTTTGTATTGTTCGACACTTGATGTTACAGCTTTTGATATGCCTCTTGCTCTGCTTGGAATAGCAACTTTACGCTCTTTAACCCTCATGAAGCACTTACATTCAATTTTAATTGCGTGTTTTAAAAACTGAAACATCTTTATATTTGCCCCACACCACCTACACCACCACCATGTCCGCGTGCGTAGCTGACTAATGGGTTGGGCGCACAACATGCCACATCATTAATCGTAAGCCATGCTGATCATGGGCCCATCGCATGGCATGGGCCATGCTGGGCTTAAGCATTGAGCATGTTGGCCAAGCGCGTCCCGCACCTAGCCCGATCCGACGACATTTAAGACTCGTTTAGTCCGTTGATTCGAGTTTTTAATTCGAGTTGAGATGTGACTTTATATGAGAGTTTTTTACTGTAACAAAACTTGAATTCTAAACTCGAATCGGTGAAATGAACGGACCTTAAGCTCAACATGTTTGACACGTAAGTAATATACATTTTTGTTCCTTCTTACTATTTGCTATGAAATAAATGAACTTTAGAAAAAATTAAAGGGAGAAAGAGAGAAATAGGTCAAGACTTAAGATGAATTAAAATTAATAGGCCAATAGTTTACATAAGTTAATAAATAGGTCAAATTACTGTTTTCGTCCATAACTTGTCTGGTTATGAACCATAACTTGACAAGTTATTGTCTATAATTGTCCATAATTTGTCTGGTTATGAACCATAACTTGACAAGTTTGTCTATAATTTATCTGGTTATGAACCATAACTTGACAAGTTATGGTCTATTAATTTCTATAACTAAAAATTAGCTTATATATTTTTTTACGCTTTTCATATTGACCTATTTTTTACTATTTCTCAAAATTAAATTCGACATTTAATTCAATGGACTCAAATGGCTAGCATGATTAAGCACATTAATCGACACAAAAGGATTGGGCCAACGGAATGTGCTGGTCTAACGCGGAGGGGTTTTTGTAGCGGAGTAAGTTATATTTACCCTAAAAATTTATTACCCCCACCAATTTATAATTTATGTTAATTACAATTTTACTCTACATTAAAATTACATTAAACCCCACATACACCCACATTAACTTTAAATGGAAATAATATTTTTTTCACTCTAATCAAAGCTAATTTCATCTTTAGAAACCCTAAGTTTTTTTCATCAAAATTTTTTAAAAATTTCAATGGGAGAGACATCACCATCCTTGTACATCTTGATGTGCAATCCTTATGTAGCTCGCATCAAAGTGTTTCGTGAATTGATAGGAAGAGATATAGCCACAAAAGAAACTTTTAATTTAGGGTCCTTGAGGTTTATTTCTTTTTTTTTTTTTTTTTGTGTTCTTAATTATTTCTTCTACCCATATTATCTAATATACTTTATGGGCATCCATCTTATTGTGCGACTTTGGGATAATCGTTGAGTTTTTATATGCATCAAGATCATTTGCATGGTTATTTTTATTTTTTTTTAATCAACGTCATTTGCATGGTTTTGTTTTTTAATCATCTATTTAGTTGAAAGGATTATATTATTTTATAAATAAAATTAAGATTAAAATTAGGTGGGAGTATGAGAGTATTAAATTAGACATTATAAAAAATATATTTATAAAAAGATAGATTTTTCAAATCTTTATTAGAGGAGCATTAATTAGTGGGGGTATTAGTGAATTCTTTGGGTGTAAATATAACTTATAGTAGCATGATTGTGTCTAATTAAATGGGTTTTGCCATGCAGGGAGGGAATTTTTGGAGGGAATTTTTGTAGGGTCAACGTTTGTAACATCACTTTCAATGAATAAAAAGACAATTTTATCCTAAACAATCAGACATGATTAATTGAAGGATTGGAATTTAGTTATAAATGACGTGTGGTATAAAGTGGTATGAATCAAAAGAAATAAAATAAGATGGTAAAAACCAACAACCACCTCTCAGAAATGATATATAGTCAAATTAACTGATTTGTACCGAACAAAGTAGAACGATTGTGCGCATTCATTTGACTGCTCTACATGCATGTTCCCTTTTTCCAATAATTTTTCCAACCCTCCTAAGTCCTCTCGATGCTTTCAGCAATAGAATTTTGCTAATAACTTGAAATGTCTGGGCAATCCAGGGAAATAGTTTTATGCTTTAAGCTGTGCAGGCATACGTGTAAATCACAAAGTATGGTTGGAGCAACAGAGATTTCGGAGTCCGGGAGTACAAAGGATAAAAGATTTACTAGGAGCAGTCTCCACTCCTCAAACTTTGTAGTAAATCCAAGTAGCCAAAGCATTCTGGACGAATATACCTGCATGAATTAATAATACCAATTAACGGAAGAAAAAGGTTTGGAAAAAAAAAAAAAAGACTTCTATTTAAATGCATAAGTAATTGTGGGTTTTGCTCCTTCAGAACTAGGATACAAATATGGAGGGAGCAAATAACTTGCCCTTGGGTTTTGCTAATTACTAGTTAGTTTATGGTCACACACAGATCACAATGATGGTCCTTTGCTATATTATTGATAGCTGCTGACGAGTTTAACGCAATAGAATAAGTTGGAAAAAAAGAAAAAAGAGGGAAAAATACCCGTGCCGAAACAGAAAATCGATGATTACGAGACAGCAATTTGGCTTGAACAAGTATGTCCTCCGTATAACATTTGAAACATGAGCCACGGGGATCAACTTAAAACTTTCCACCTCGCCATCTGCCACATTTGTGATGAGCCATTGCAATGTATAGAGCTCTTAGTATATAATACTCTTTATGAGCAAATGACTACTGAGCAAAATGAGAAAGCCTTATGGTAATGTTTGATTGCAAATACTGAAAAAGGGCGAGTTCAAATATGCCTACCTTCATTCTTAGGTATGAAACTCACAGGGAGTTTTAGGTCATAACAAAATAAAACATCTCTTTTGTATCTATATCCGTCAATGTCCATGTATGAAATAGCGCCAACTGGTATGGTACTGCAAGAGAAACATTTCAGAATCCATGAGAAAGACAGAGAGAGGTTGCAACAAAATAGTTTCTCAGCTAAGGAAATGGACTTTCCTCATGGTACAACTTCTTAGCCAATAAAAGTAATATGAAAGCTGAATTCAATGATCAACAAAGAGATTTGATCATTCAATGGTAACAAGGACAAACCTACCTACTCGAAATGGATCTGGGTATTCCAGCTTCCTCTTCGCACTCCTTCATTATGTTCTCCCCACATTCAATCCCATGAGGCTGCGTCATTAAAATATGAATTTAAAATTTCAGACATAATAAAGATTAGGTACATAATAGATTTTGCACTGAAAAAACTATATGAGCCTTTTCCTTTCTTGTATCGTTATTCAGGAAAATACCCAACCACAGCCTTAAATCTTTGTCAAGTTCTGTAACTTAAAAACCGACGGTTAAAAACAATGTTAATACTCTACCACAAAATTCTCCTTCAATTTTATACATGACTTATCGTTTATCAATGCTTGGAAGTAAATTGATAGATTGTTACAAACCAATCCTCCAGCAACTAGATGATCGAGCATCCCCGGGTAAGTGGATTTTGTTTGACTTCTCTTCGCTATCCATAGAAACTTCTCGCCTCCTTTCTCAACATAACCATTCATGTGAACTCCATAAGCCTATTATCATAACAGGATATCAAGTACATAAGCAAATTGAAGAAGTATTGTTTAACACATTCATTGTCGTGTCAAAATTCAAGTGCTCAAATAGAAAAAGACTACAAAATTTCCAAAAAGGCCATACATGGTCCACAAAACAAACCTTTATTCCAAAATAAGGAGCAGCTGCACGTTCCAACGAGAAAAATGTTGGCGAGCCAAATGACGAAGTCACAGGGTAAAGCTGTTTGACATTAACAATAGTTAGCTAAGGAAACAATGATCTAACTTCAACTAACAACTTAGCTCAAAGGGCTTCAATCCCATAGAAAAACAACAAATGTAGAGATTCTGACAATCTCGGAATTCTTCATTAGGGTACACCGTTAGTAGTCGCGTTTTTTTAACTATCAAATTTTCATCGGATTCCATCATATTTGCATACTGTTTGATTACAATATAGTTAACTTGCAACACATATAGAGATTGTGCATAACCAGACATAAAATGGGAGTTAAATACAAACTCAGGTAGCTCATGATTAATCAAGCACTACCTCAATAAGAATTCTGGATTTTAACACATAATTACCGAGCAATAATGATAGAGATTATGCATAAAACAAACCACAAAATTGGATTTAATTACTCAACTAAGCTCATCAAGGCAGTACCTCATTCCGAATACCTGGAATCAATTCTTCCCCTAAACTTTTAACTACTTCTCCCACTGCTCTGGTCCTATCTTCTGGTGTCCCTAGCGACGAGTGCAACGTCACAGCGCCGCTTCGGAAGCCGCCATTAGAATTATCCGGCAAGAAAGTGAACACATTCCGGAACTCCCTCAAATTCTCAGCAAAACTAACAACAATTCAAGAGACCAAACTTATGCATAATCTATGAAATCCAATTCCTTAACCAAAAAGAAAAGTTCTTTCTTTTTAACTTACCGATTGTGAATATATCCGACGATTTGGTCCTGAATTACAAACGGAATGAACTCGTGTTTCTTTTCCTGAAACCGTTGGTCAAAAGGAAGACGCTAGGCTATGTTTGGAAGCTGAGAAAACGTGAGAAAATGTGAGAAAATAAATGGTGCGTATCTTACTGATCCGCGATTGCAGATTTTGATCTTGTCGAAGTATCCTTTGAGGTCGGAAGGGTCGTCCAAAACGCTTTCCGGTTCGGAGATTCGAACGACGTCATCCCAAGTGATGGTTCCACCGCTGGTTGATACTGATATCGGGCGAGAATGGGATGTCGTTGCAAGAATTTGAGCAGAGCGGAGAGAAAACGACGTCGTGAAAGTGCTGGGGAAGGCGTGAGAAGCTGTGGAGACGGCGGTTGAGTGGCGGATTTGGTGAAGGAGATGAAGATTGTTGCAGGCCATGTGAACTGCCATGGGAAACGAAACGGACAGGATGAAGACAAACGACCCGTTTTTGTTGAGTTCGTGTGAGAAATGGTATGTCGTTTTAATGGCGGAAAAAGATTTTCCAAATTTGGTAAATTTCTAGATGGTAAACGACATGTCGGTTTCATTTTTAGACGGCAATGTTGTCATAAAAAATTGAGCTTTTCCTTTTGCTTTTTTAGCGGCGGAAGTAGAAGATGAGCAAGAAAAGCCGTCACTTTTTAGCAAGTATTTAGAATAAATAATTTAATGGGTCAAAATAATTTTTAAATTTTTTAATAATAAGTAATAAATATGTTAGAATTAAATTTATAATATTTTAATTAAATTTTGATATAAATTTTAATATTTTTTAAATTTATAATATTTTAATTAAATATTTTTTAAAAGCAATGGACTTACAAACTACAAACCAGAATGTCGTTTCCCTAATAAACGACAGCAAGTTCTGGCGAAATAACGATGTGTCGTTTTACAGTCAAACTAAACAAAAAACCATAAAAGCGGTATGTCGTTGTCAAACTTGATAGTAAGCAAACTGAGAACATCCATCTTACACACGACATTCGTTATCTGTTTTAAATGTTTACAGAACTTTAAACTACAACAAACTTTAACATAAAACGACATGTTGTTTCCTCGCACAAACGACAAAAAAGAATTTCAATCTTTTAAATGGAAAAAATGACACTGATTTAGGATTATTGGGGATTTTCTCTCTCTATTTTTCTACGCTGTGTATATATATATTTGAAAATTGAAATTGACAACCACGCATAAGTTCCCACTTCTCTCAGTCGTCTCCAATTATTCCAAGACCAGAGTTCCTCTTCGTTCCCGCGGGTTCTTCTTCGCCGTCACAGTCCAATCTCCCGCCTGATTACGTGGCGGAATATGTCTCGCCCGTCACAAACTGCTTTCCCGACCACCAGAACAGTCACCATTTCCTTCTCAGAGCTCAAGGTAATGATGGTTATCCTTCTTTCTGTGTTTGGTTGCCGAGAAAAAAACGAACGACAAAAAAAAAAACGCTGGTGGAACGGCCTTTTATCTGTCCAATATCGAAGAAAATAAAAACACTCGCAGTCAACAAGGCTAACAACTGCAAGCCTTATCGAGTTCAGACTTTCCTTTTTTGTTATAGCATGCATAGCAGCGTGATTTTTCTGCTATCTTCGAAACGCTTATTTTCCTCCGTTTTCTCGGCGACCAAACATTGGACTATTTGTTCCGTTTTCCATTTTCTGATGGTTGATGCTTCAATTGTTTAATTTTTTTGTTGGTTTGGATGAAGCAGGACAAGAACGCGGATTTGTCCGTTAAGATCGAGGAAGGATTTGGACCAAGCGGTCTAGGAATTCTATCTGTAACAGATGTATGTGAAAATTTCGCTTTTAATCTCGTTTTGATATTTAACAGATTTTTCAACGCTGTGCTAATTGGAGTTCGTTGTATTTTTGGCGAATTTGATTCCTTATTGGATTTTTGGCTTTGAAACAATATCTTCTGATGTGTTATTGTCTGATGAAAAGAAGTTGTGGAGATATTAAATTAGCTTTAAACTTGAAGGAATCTTAAATTTAAGTATGTGAGTAATGACTTTATATTAGTGAAGCTGCATTGTAATGGATTTTTTTTTTTCCTTTTATTCGTTTGAATGGACACTTTTTTAGCAGTCCTAATTGTTCTATGTGGATGGTAATTTCATGACTAGAATGCAGTTTTGGTTCTAGTTATTTTCTTACATGCCCTTTTCTCCTTGTTTCAAATTTGGACAAAAATGTTGGAAACGTAAATTAGTGCTCGTTTTGCGTAACCGTGTTGTAACCTATCTTGTAGGTTCCGGGATTTTCTTCATTGCGGCGAGATCTCCTACGCCTTTCTCCAAGGTATAATGTGGAAATGGTATTTGAGAACTCAAAGATGTAGAACTTGCGAAGAATGCTTACATAATGTCGCTGATGGGCACTTGCCCTTTTATCTATTATAAGGTTAGCTAGCATGCCTGAAGAAGCGAAGAGGGAGCTTGAGGATCCTCATAGTAGGTAATAAGATTTTAGCTGTTTAAATCTCTTTCTTGTAGCCCTACGAACCGATTATGATACCGAGTTACAATGATTTATGTTATTTTTGTCTGTCATCCATGTGTAGGTACAATTTTGGATGGAGTCATGGGAAAGAGAAGCTTGAATCGGGGAAGCTTGGTAAGATATTCATGGACTTTATATTTTTATCTGAAGTACATAGAGACAAACCAAAGACCTAAAGCTTTTAGTTTATGGATTTCTTCCCATTTAGTTAGATTTTCAATATAAAATGATGAGATACTTTTTTCTCTAAAATGAAAGGAAATGATGAGAATACTAATGAATGTTTATTCAGTCAAATGGATTTTAGTTCTCTGAAGCTCTTACATTCAAACTACACAGGCCAATTCTTGTTACTCCATATTGTAGAGCATGATGTATCATTTTTGCCTTGATTTATTTTGACAAGGTTTAGTCTTATAAATGAGCGGTGTGTCTGATTCTTTAACCTGATTGCTTTTTTCTTTTTCTTTTTTAATTTTCAGATATGCTGAAAGGCTCTTTCTATGCAAACCCAATATTTGATAGACCTACAACAGACGCATCTCTAATCCAAAGGTAAAGAGATTGCAATTTTTTATCACTGCTACGTGTAAGGTATATTCTATGTAAACTATGAGGGCATAATGACCAAAGTCGTTAATTAAAGTATGTTTTTGGTTACCTTTTTGACTGTTTCTTTCTGCAGTATGCTTATTTTAGCCCTTACTGGCAGTCTTTATCAAAATATGATGTTATGCAGCTTCATTCACACAAAATCTGGATTGCAGGTATCCATCATATTGTGGATCAAATATATGGCCTCATAGTGCGTTGCCTGAACTTGAATCAGGTATGTTAACAGATGGTGGATAACCTTTCTGGTTCATTTTGAGAATGCATGACGTGACAAGATGCCTTTAAGGATTATCAGTATGAACTTTTGTACAAGTCTGTTCATCTGCAGTCATGAAAGCATTTTCAGCTCTTCACTCTCCTAGACTTTTATTAAGTTAAAGATATGAATCCACTACTGTGTCAGTTCTAAGGAAAAAAAAAAGTACTTAGAACATGTTTTCTTATTACATGCTGCATTCATGTAATAAGAAAACATGAATGCAGCATGTGGTTTTCTGCAGCATGTAATAAGAAAAAAAATGCAACATGTTTTCTTAGAACATGTTTTCTTGTTCCTCCATGTATACTTTTATCCCTGATTACTTTATAATCATCATGTTTCCTTCATTTTGTTACCTGACATGTGTTCCTGGGCGGTCTTACTTTATTATTTCTCTTGATATGCAATATCTTGGTTGATAAGCTGTTAAATTTCTTCTTTTGTTTTGCATGATAATATTGTACTAAATCTATTTGTAGCCTTTAAAGCTCTTGGCCAGTTGATCCATGATGTTGGGCTCATGTTGGCACATCACTGTGACCAATATGGTAAGTTCTCAATTCATATTATATACACTAACTTGTGGTACCGAAAATATTGAAATTCTTTTTCATAGGTCTCGTTTTCCTTTCCAACTGTTGAAAGTTGAAACATTTGAATCTGTCCATAAATGTACTTGTCCTAACAAGTGAAACTACCATACCATTTTTACTCTGAGATTTACTAGGAAACTAAAAGCAGGACCCACAATGCTGGTAAAAGTCGAGCCCGTTTGGTTCATGGATTAAAACCATGAGATTAGAATTATTTTCGATTTACGTGTGTTTTTTGTGAGAGAAAATACTGTAGCGAACCATGAATCATGATTCGAATCAGAGAACGAATCCTCCAACCAAACAGGCTTTTTATCCAGAGTAGGCTTTCCATTTTAAGATTATAACCTTCAATTACTGAATCATCATGTTATAGGAAGTGAGAATACTTCTGAGCTTTCTAACATCTTTTCAATATTATCAAGTATATATCTTTTGTGAGTTCTATCCCAACAAATTCCTGTGCTAGCCTTCTTATTGCTCTTTCTTCTTTTGGTTGCTTTTATATTTCAATTTTTTTTAATTTTTTTTTATCAGTATCCAAAGTGATGAAAATGGGAGAGGATGAAGGCCTTGAGAAGATACTTCTCCACTCTCGTTGTCATAAGGGGCGTCTGCTTTATTATTTTCCATCGGAACAGAGGTGACTAAATTTTTGTTTTTATCAAGACTTATTTAAAACCTGATTCTTTAGACAGCTAAAAGTTCCAATTCTTGTAGTCACTCATAATCTCTGTCTTGTAACTATTTTGACCTCTTTGCCAATTGTTGAAATTTTAAGATGTAAGAACTCTCATGGTCACCCGTAGAAACTCTTATTCTATGAGTTATAAAGAGTTGTTTCTGTTGTAGTCTTTCCTCTGTCGTTTCCTTTTGAGAGAGAGAGAGAGAAGAAAATGAAGTGGCACCATAATATTTTGGCTTCTAGGGTAATTGTTTGACTACTAGAATATGACTTGCAGTAATGATAACAACTCCATGTCGTCCTGGTGTGGGTGGCACACAGACCATGGCTCACTAACAGGTGATCACATTTTCTCCTTGTATATACCAGTTCATTGCTTTTTATTTCATCCTTTGTCGGTCATTATTTAGTATGCTGATGGATAGCATATATTTTTAACTTTTTGTGTACTGTAGTCTTTATTCTAATTTATGCCTTAATTCATTATGTAGGTCTGACATGTGCTATGTTCATGAGGGATGCTGTAGAAATACCTTGTCCTGATAGTGCTGCTGGTCTTTATATTAGAACACGAACTGATCAAATTGTCAAAGTACACTTTCTTAAACTTGAAATTCTGGCAATAAAGTGCTGCAATTATGATAAAATTTTACTCGACTAATCATTCAAAATGTCACTTTTTGGTTATCAAATTTACTCCATGAGTTTTAGCTTTCGTTCTACTAAGTGGCCTTCTGGCCGTGCTGTCTGGTTAGATCACTAGTAAGGTTTCATTACAAAGAAAATAGTATCATAATAACTTCAGAAAATGATGATTAAATGATGGTTAATTAAACATCACTAGTTGCAAAGTATCTTATGTAACAGCAAACCTCTTGATTTAAGTAGAAGACACCCTGGGGGAATATTTAAATTTATAGAGGACAAGTACATTGCTACTTATGAGGCACGGTTTGAAGTGTACTCTTGCCTTCTCTCATCTTGATCTGCGTTTTTTATGTGCTTTTCATTCAGCCATCTCCTTAAGGAGCTTTCTCACGGATTACCTGCATAATTGTGGTTGTTATGCTTTAAAACAGTAAACATTGCCTCTTGCAGTAACTTTCTTTCCTTACACGTTCTTTAGGTTGTCTTTGGAGAAGACGAAATAGCATACCAAATTGGTGAAACTACCGAAATACTTTCAAGGGGCTATCTTTGTGCAACACCTCATTGCGTCCGGGTACTTTTGTCCAGAAATATATGCGTTCATATACAATTACATATTGATCCATGCATGAAGCATGGTGTTTCTCTTGCTTTTGATCGTCATCAGTCTTTTTCTCTTGCTGCGCATCAACTAGACAAGATTGTGCTATCACGTCTTAATAAGCTAGCGTTTCTACAACTTTTCTTTGGGATAAGAAATGAATCTGAGGCATTATGCTAATCAAAGTCGGATCACATACTAATGTTCTATTTAGCGCCTTTGTTCAATTCTCATTGGCAAATTGTGAAGCATAATGTTTTATGTCGACTGTAGGCACCTAAAGGACAAGAGGCTTCTGGTCTGGAACGGTCAACCTTCGCATTATTTATGCAACCTGACTGGTGTGTACACCTGTTTCATGGCACTTATGTTCTTTGAATATAGCATTATAGGAGAACTACTGTGATTTAGAGCAGAGCTAGTGGTCATCATGATTCGCAAGCCGCTATCACCACATAGAATTAAGGAGTGGGGCCCACTCCCTATCTCTCGTAGATGGGGGCTCGTTGGAGCCCCTCAGCTTTTTTTGTGTGATTTACACGAGTTTCGTCTACGATTCTTATTGACTCAACAAATCAATGAACTATTATACGAAATCTCTGCATCAGTTGATTAGCCACGTGCTATGCAAAAACCAACCATCTTGCCCCTTTAATACGACCGTAAATGGATTTCTTTCGTAAGTTTTGTACGACGTTAGATGGTTAAGGTTTTTCTTGTATTGCAGGGATGAACTACTTAATTTCCCTGAGGAGGTCCATATCCATAAAGAGGTACATAAAGTTTATGTTTAGACCGTCTTTAATGTAAATATTAATACTAATTATATATTTAGTATAAAAAATTATGATATGGTATGTTATTTTTATTTTTATTTCAATGTATGATGCTATTTGAAATGTTAAATCTATTTTTTTTTTTTTATAATTATTAAGCTTTAGAAGTTGTAAAAGTAAACTTTTACATTTCAACCGATAGTAATCAAATATTAAATTTTTCATATGATATATTTAGTGAAAAATTTGACAATAGTAATTTAGCAAAAGTATATGAGAAATTTACCACAAAGTAAATATTTCAACCAATAGTAATTTATCATAAAGTATAACATATAAAAAATTTAACATAATATATAGTATTATATTAGAGAGTTTTTTTACATGTTAAATTTATAATTGACATATTAATTATAATATTGTATTAAAGATGCTTTAAAGGATCCAATTATTGGCGGATATTATTGCAGCTTATATAATTATAACCTCCCCTTGCCTTTTTCTCCTTTCTTCCCACGCAGCTGATTTCATCAAGTGGACCTCTTACTTTTGGAGAGTACACTGAGAAGCTTCTTGACATATATTACCACCTGAAAAAATAGAAGAAACTTGCTTATAAATGCAGGTGCTTAATAATGGCTATTATCTAAACAATAATTCATCTAGATTGATGCACACTTTCCTCTGCCTAGTTCATTTGTTTATAGATGAACACACAATTGACTCGTTTAGTTTCTAAGTTTAAATATAAAAATTTAAATAAAAATTTAAATTTTATAAGAGAAAATATTATATTAAAAAAATTTAAATAGTGATTCGGACTTATGAAACAAATGGGACATACCTATTTATTATTTATTAGTTGCCCATAGTGATAATTGCATTGCTAAAACAGTCGCGAATGATATAGCACGTGTTGCGAATAATATAAGGTCTCGTTCAATTTGTTAATTTGAGTTTTTGATTCGAGTTGGGATGTTATTTTATATTAGATCTTTTATTGTAATATAAAAAATTAAATATAATTTTTATGAGAATTTTTAATTATAATAAATTAAAATTAAAAATTTAAATCGATAAAATAAATGATCTCTTAGCGTGTGTTTCTTCATTGGACCCAGACTTGAGATGAATTAAAATTAATAGGTCAATAGTTTACATAAGTTAATAAATAGGTCAAATTACTGTTTTCATCCATAACTTGTCTGATTATGAATTATAACTTGACAAGTTATTATCCCTAATTGTTCATAACTTATCTGACTATTAACTATAACTTAACAAATTTATTCATAACTTATTTAATTATAAATCATAACTTAATAAATTATGACCTATTAATTTTTATAACTAAAAATTAATTTACATACTTTCTTAAGCTTTTCGGCTTATTTTTTACTATTTTCCAAAAATTTATAGGACGTAGAGAGGAGGGAGACAATGCACGGCCTCTAATCTCTCTGCCACACTAATTTAAGATTTGGTGGGCTTCTCGAGAGTGAGCGGCCGACTTTTGTAAATTTTATAATTGTTTGTTATAGAGATAATGACAAGACGATTCTAGAGAAGTCGGCCACAAATTGCCGCTGTTTTATCACGATACGATATCACTAAAATCTCGCAACCGACGGTACTGGGACTTCATTAACAAATCCATATTCTCATGTTATCGCGAGAAGATAAATTAGAAGTTGGGCCGCCCTCCTAGAAGGCCAACCGAAAAGAAACGAACAGAAAAGAAAAGAAAAAGAAAAGAAAAACGTGGGGAAAATAAGAACAAAAATGCCACGTGGAAAGAGGTCGATTGGGAGTAGCCGGGGGGGTGTACTAGGCTACTATTGTCCCCACACGGATTCAACTGCTCCCAAAAGTCCCCATCATCTGATTTGGAACTTGGCCCACCATCTTTTTCACCAACTTTGACTGTTATTTTGTACACCACTACACCTCCACCTCCTTTATTGCATTTGTCCCCTACCCTTTCTAATTCTATCCATGTATTTACTATTTTTCTTCTGTTTTACTTTTACCATACTTTTGGTAGTTATTTATCTCTTGACAAATTTTACTAAAATCAGTTTTTCACCGTATCTCGTGAATTTGAAAATTGGTCTATGCATTTCTTGATTTTTAAAACATTAGAAAAAAGTTTTTCCTTTTCAGATAAATTATAAGGTCACTTTTTTGCTCATTTTTTTTTGTCAATCTTTCACTTCTCAATTTATCATGTGTCATCTCACTTTTTAAAGCAGTATAAAAGACCATTATTTTTACATTTTATTACAATTATGCCACTCTTTCATATTGCATTTTTTTTAAATGGAATATTAAAAAATTGTTGTTTTGCTATTCTTTAAATTTTTTTTTTGTCTTTTTAGCCCTCTTTATTCGTTTTTTCTAATAGAACAGATATTAGACATATATTTTCTCATTTAATGAGTTATTCCGATTTCTAGCTCAACGTATATTATTTATATAAATAAATTATTTTATAACCTCTTTTTTTTAAATAAAATGAAGATTTGGGAAAAAAAAAAGTAAACAAATAAAATAAAATAAGAACCTCGTTAATGTTGGTGATATGAATGCTTTCAAGGATCTGCATAGAGTGTTAATAGATATGGCTTTGTTGGAGGACACGGACTTGTAATATTTGGCTTATGCATGAATAGAATTATTTACTAATATTATGTAACGTAAAACTTTTTATGTAATATTTATTTTTATTGAAAAAAAAAGTTATAAAAAGAGTGATAAAGAGTGGCAAAGTTGTAATAAAATGTATAAATAATAATCTATAATAATGCTTTACTTTTATGGGAAAGTGAGATGACACATGACAAACTGAGAAGTCAGAGAGTGGGCAAAAAAGTAACATAGCATTTCTCATTCTTCTATCTCAATGGATGTAAAATCTATCATGATTTTATAAGATTAAAATCGAATTTGTATTAAACACCTTTATAAGTAATAAGAAAAAAATGAAAAACTTATGCTGTGTTTAGAATTGTTATTGTTTTTATTTTTAATATTTTTTTAGAAAGAAAAAATGAAAATGATTTTAAAACGACATTTAGCACAATTAAAGATAAAAACAGAAATAAAAATAATTTTTTAGTTTAATGTAAAATGAGAAAAAAATGAAAAATGACTTTTAGTCATTTTTTATTTTTTATTTTCGTTTTCTCCTCCCTCGAGCACAGAGAGTGAAAAAGGAAGACATTAATGGATTTTTTTATATTAAAAATAATCTTTTAATAAAACTATTAAACACATTTTCAAAAATAATTTTTATCTGAGATTAAAAATATTTTCATTTACATTTTTATACAAAAAATAAAACTATTTTAGAATGAGTTTTAAATGCACCCTTAAGTTTCATAACTCATACATCAACAAGAAACCTTTCGCGGTGAGGGTAACTCCCTTTGTTTTTGTCCATTATAATTCACGGAATTTTTGCCGTTATTTTTTCAATAGTTTTCTGATTACCTAAATATAAGTGATATTACTAAATTGATAATGCATTAACATGCCTAAAGTACAATTCAATTTCCTATGATGCAATTCTTGTTTCTTTTCTCGAAAGATGAACAATACAAATTGTCTTTATTCGTATTTACATTCAATACACACATCAGCATTGGTGCCGAAACAACCATTGTAGTCCCTTTTTCAGATATTAAAAGCCGCAAAATTCAAACTGGTTTCGGCCATCAACACCTTTTCTGCTTTTCTCTTGCCATTTCCAAGTAAAGCCTAGACAGTCAATTTGGCGCTAATGACTCCCACATCTTAATAGAGGCATAGTTGAATCCAAACTCTATCCATAACCAAAGTGTCACTATTATATTTATAATTCTTTTCCCCTGACTGCAGAAAGTGAGGAAATGAATAAATAAATATAATAGAGCGGTAGGTTTAGTAGTAAAGTATATAAAGTCCTTGTTTGCGTGCAAAAGTTGATTTCTCCAACAATCTTAAAAGTGGGCCACCACCATGTCTGACCTCAGGCCACTTGAATGAACAGATTAGCCCATATATATACATAACAGGAAACTTCCCAAACCCATCAAAGCTGTGCTTGTTCAAAGCTCTTAAAAGCTCATCTTCCCAACCTTCTTCCATAATTATCAAATCCCCACCAAATATTTTCTTCACATTTTTCCTTTTACGATGGCGAATTCTTCTTATTCTTATTCTTATTACATCACGGAGTCATCGAGGCCTCGCCGGAAAACCAGCCTGAGAAAGAGGTGTTTGCTGATGGTGAAGCAGCAGAAGACTCGGTTCTACATTCTTGGACGCTGCGTTTCGATGCTTCTTTGCTGGCACGACCACTCCATATCCGATTAGCTAAGCCTATGCTTGTAAGCTCCGAATCAATTTGTTGATTTTGATTGGAAACCGCAGAGCGCGGTTTCTGCTCGCGGTTTCCATTTTCCAGGAGTTCTTTTGGCATGGAATTGGAGAGAGAGATAGAGATAGAGATAGATAGAGATAGAGAGAGAATGTTTTGGGAGCCCATTGACGAGGCAAAGATATTTAAGCAACTATGAAGTATCGAATCTTGAACTCGTCCTAACACAAAAACGAAAGAAGACATCTTTGTCACCAAATTTTGATTTGCTTCTTTTGATCTATTATGGGAAATCTCAAAATCCCTTGGTTTGACATTGTTGAAGATACTAGATAGGCAGTAGTGACCAATTCATGTACATAAACCATAGTCTTTTATTATTATTATTCAGTTTAGCTTGAAAGAGAGATGGAAATAATGAAAGAAACAGAAAATTTCAGACGCTGTCGCTTCAGGTTATATCGTCTCTGGCTTTGTAGAATGGCTTTGATAATTCCTGATTTGCGTTCTCTTTTGTTGCGTTTCTTAGACGTCTCTAATCCAAAGGATTATGACTTGTATTTAAACTGCTAAAATGTAAAAAATCTAAATTTAACGCATCAAATTTCATATTTTCCCCCAATGTCATACATGCTAAATAAAACGCCATTTTAATTTGTTGTTCCATTCTCATGACTAAGCTTTGTAAATTGATACATCATCTTGCGTTGGATGAGCATAATTTTCCGTACTTTCTATTGTTTTCTCTTCAATTTCCCCTAATTTTATTTTTTAGTGGGGAGAAAATATAGTGCATGAAGGATTTTGTCTCTTCTTTGCCAAGTGATAAGTGATTAAAAAAAAAACGGTGTTTCGAAGAAACTGTATGGAAGTGAAAGTTCTAATCTATAGGAAGTTTTAGTGAGCGTAGAGTATTAAAGTTTCGAATGGCAAAATTAAAATTTTAAGCACATACTACAATTTAGCACGGGCTAATTTTCCATTGAAAAAAGATGAGGTAGTTTTACACCAAATGTTAATAATTATATTGGATTTAGTGTAATTTTAATTAGAAAATAAATTTCTGGGAAAGTATTAAATTATAACATTGACACGAGATAATGTTATATATGTTTCTCTCAGCGACGTTAAGAGGAAGAAAAACCGTAGATGGGCATAGTAAGAACAGAACAAAGAAGTGGTATAGTAATGACTAATGAATTATGCGATAAATTCGTACCATGATTTGTGATTTTTTATAATATCATTTTCTTATAAAAAATATACATAAAATGAGAATAATTTTAAATTATAATTCTAAATTCATGTGTTAATTCACGAAGTTGCGGGTTACGGTCCACACAGTGAAAGCAAAATCTAATTTGGCTTTTGTGCTTCTCAACCACTGCATATTATTGCTTGTTAAATTGACGCCGAAGGAAAGAACAAACCGATATGTGAAGGTTTCGTTCATTTTACCGATTTGAATTTTTAATTTTAGGTTTTTACAGTAAAAAATTTTTAGAAAATATCACATTAACTTTTTCTGTTATAGTGAAAAGTTCTCAAAAAATATCACATCTTAATTCAAATTAAAAAGTCGAATCTACGAAGTGAACGAGTCCGAAATCAACGAGTGACCCTCGTATATTAGCTCAACTGTGACGTGCTTTCAGTTGGAGTCAAAAAATCAATATTGAAGCCCTATGATTAAACAAGATTTTTTTAAAAAAATAAAAAAATTAATAAATGAAGAAAGAGAGTCAAATATTGTGTGCGTGAATTATCCAAATTTCCAATGAAAATGCTAAAATGCCGGATAGAAATTTAACCGAACACAATGAGTAGGTCCCACAAGATGGACTCACATGGACCCTGTTAGTGGGGCCCACATTATGCGTCTGACAGGGACTTGTCCCCGTCGGAATTGTAGGTAGCATTGCTCTTCAATTGCGGCTTCTCTTGAAAAAAAATTAGAGATTGACAATTAACGTCGGCGTCCTATTTTGATCGTTTTATTTAACTTATAGTTAATTTAAATATAATTTGTGATATAAAATTTTTTAAAAATTACAATACGATATTATAATTTTTCGGATTAACACGACATAAAAATGACATGTGATACGAAATTAATCTGTAAATCTAAAATTGACATAAAAATTATATATTTTTATTTAATTTTTTACATATTAGAAATAACTTAAAATTCATAACACACTAAATACAATAACATCTATTGAAATTAAGCAAATAATAGTATAAGATTTTGAGTATAACTATCATGATATCACAAGTTCATAATAAAATAAAAAATATGTAATGAAAAATATATGTATTTTTAGTTTTTTACGAGTTTCGTGTCGTGTTCGGGTTAGGGGGTTCCAACCTGAAATTGACCCGTATTTTTCGTGTCAATTTTAGGTCGATTCAATTCTGACCCGAACCTCTTTTTTCTCAACCCTAACCCGTGAAATTCGTCATTTTTGAGTCATGTTATTGTGTCGTAACCCATATTACCGACCCTAGAAAAAATAAATTCGGGATTATCAATGTCACTACACCATCTCCTCTAACACCCTTTGACACATTAGACTTTTAAATAAAAAGACAACTTTACCCTTTCGTTTAATAACTCGAGGAATAATATCCAAAACACCCTATGTGTGTTATCAAAGATTATTTTTCGTCTCTTTTATTATGTAAATAACTAAAACACCCCTTATATTTATAAAAATAAATCTAAAATACCTCGTGAAGTTTTTAAAATTTTTAAAATACTAAGATTATCCTTCTTAATCTTAATTAAATACAATTTAAAACATTAATAAACTAAAATATTAAATAAAATCAATCTTAAAAGATGAAAAGTCTCTAAATATTTGCAGTTTTTCTTTAATTAGAATATTTATTTGAGCATTTTTAAATTTTTTTTATATAACTCTTTAGTTAAATCATATCTAAAATAATATTTAATACATATTAAGAAGGATAATCATGGCACTTTTAGGCTTTATTTTGTTCAACATTCAAATTGTCGATTTGGTTTGAGTTATAGTGATTAGAATTGTGGTGTATTGGGCCCGTTTAGTTCGTTGATTCGAGTTTTTTAATTCAAGTTGAGATGTGATTTTATGTGAGAGCTTTTTTACTGTAGTAAAAGGCTAGATGTGACTGTTTCTAAGAGCATTTTACTGTAGCAAAACTCGAATTCTAAACTCGAATCGGTGAAATGAACGGAGAATTTTAATTCGAACCAGTGTTTTGGATATGCAAATAAATTGTAATTTGAATTAAGAATAAAATAACTCTGTTTGGATAAAGTGTTGAAAACTGTCATTAGAGTTCTATAATAAATCTTATAAAATCTCATTGTAAATGACATCCAAAAATATACAATGGGTCCGTTTAGTTCGCTTATTCGAGTTTTTAATTCGAGTTAAGATGTGATTTTGTGAGAGCTTTTTACTGTAGCAAAAAAGTTAGATGTAACTGTTTCTGAGAGCTTTTTACTGTAATAAAACTTGAATCGGTAAAATGAACAGAGTCTGAATTGTAATTCAAACCGGTGTTTTGGATATGCAAATAAATTGTAATTTGAATTAAGAATAAATAACTGTGTTTGGATAAAGTGTTAAAAATTGTCATTAGAGTTCTATAATAAAACTTATAAAATATCATTATAAATGACATCTAAAAATATACAATATGTACGAGGATTTGCTCCTCTCTTCATTATAAACACAATAAAAAAATCATCTCAATCAGAATTAAAACAAAGAAATTATGTCATTTTTAAGCTTGAAATTGAAGAGAGAAAAAAAATATAATCAAAATTGTTTTCACTGTAGAAAACAATTAGGATTGTTAGAATTTAGGGGGAGGTGAATTCTAAATACTCAGGATTTAAACTATTGTTAATAGTTTGAATTGTCTTTGAATTACCTTATACCAAATATCAATTTAAATTATGAACTACGATTTGAATCATAAATAACAAATCAGATGATTTAAACAAACAAGCACTTAAAAATTTAACTGCTTTATGGGTGTTTTGGAGCTGTTTCTACAAATATAAGGATGTTTTAGGCATTTTGCATGATAAGAGAGGTGAAAATTGTATTTTGACAAAATACGTAGGTGATTTGAGTATTTTCCCTAACTGAATACACTCTCAAAAAGAAAAAAGAACCACTCTCTAATTGAGCAAATAGAACGACGCCGTGTTGATCTAACACGTATTCATCTAAGTCGTTGGATTTGAATCGTTTGGTATTCCCCGTGTCCGCCATTGCTAATGCTCTGCTCATGAACCCTAAAACAAAAGCAAATTCGATGTGCATTTGAAATTGTTGGCACTTCGAATCACTCGCGAGCTTTGCAAGGTCGCAACAAAGATATTAAACGGGTAAGTGTATATTTGCACAAAATCTGTATAAATTAATGTTATCCATTTGAACTTTTAGAATTTTATTTTATTCTCTTTTCACTTTTCTATTAATTTTCTTGCGTTAATAGATGACACTTAACTCCTGTTTAGCGTTTTCTTTTCGATCCACATTGCAGCAAACTACTCCGGTTGGGCGTTTTCTTTTCGTTCCCATTACATTTACAGCCAAACTCAGAAACACAACAACAAAGGTTCCCATTACATATACAGCAGCAGCAAATCTACTTCTTCGATTTCGCTGCTCTCTCTCGTCTAAGAATCTGGTAAAGTTGTCGTCTTTGATCTCGGAATAATACTTTCCGTTCACGCCCAAATCGGAAGAATTGGGAGTAGAGTTCTGCTGAGTTTCAGTCGTCTTTGATCTCGGAATAATAGTTTCCGTTCACGCCCAAATCGGAAGAATTGGGAGTAGAGTTCTGCTGAGTTTTAAAGAAACCCCCGAGGAAGTAACGCCACCTTCCATTGCTCTCATTCTGGTCCCTGCGTTCCTTCGATTGCCTCTATTCCGAAAAGGTCTCTCTCTCTCTCTCTCTGATTTTGTTGAAACTTTCGATATGTTTGTTTGGGAAATCTAACAAATTCTCTTTTTTAAGTGTATTATGTAACCTTAATTCTTTCATATTTGAATCATTTGTAACCGTTTTCTTATAACCTTTGTCGTGGTTTTTCTGTCTGTCGAATCAATTCTGTCTTCTCTTCTGCCTGCTTATGGAAAATATGTATGCTACTTTACCTTCCAATCGACGAGTTCAACGAACCTCCCGTCTGGAAAGTTGTCTTCAACTCTTGTTTGATATCTCCGATCTCCCTTGGTTGAAAGTTGCTTCTGTACTGTTCTAACGCAGCATTTGCCTTTAATCACTAATTGGATCCTTTCGGTTTGAGTCTCATCTAATGGATTTACAAGTGTATGTGTGTGTATATTCGTCGCTTTCCTCATATTTTGCTTTATTTTAAGAATATGTTTTGACATTCAGAAGTAAATTTGTTTATGTGAATTTGTTTTTTCTTTGGGTATTTCAATTAGAGTATGGTACTACTTTGCATAATTTGATTGTTTTAGTATGATGTATTGATTATCTTCCTGTTACTGTAGAAAGTAGTGAAGTTCTACACTTTCTTTTATGTTTTCTTGACTAATTTATGTCTATACTATAATAGTATAGTAGTATTGATACCGACCTGAATATGTTATAGATCAAGTGTTTGTATTAAGCACTATGTGAATGGTTTTTGATTATTTGTATAGATTAGGATTATTTTCCTCTCTCTTTGTTTGGTAACTAGATTTGGTTGGAGCTTCCTTTGTAATCCATTATGTATTTATCCTTGTTTATCTGGTTTTTTTTTTTTTTTTTTTTTTTCGGTTAGTTTCTGCACTTGTTGCATTATGCCAAAGTTTTATGCTTGTCCCTTTACCTAATTGATTTTTCCAATTGACTCACATTCTGCTACACATGTTGCTGTCTGTCTATATGTCATGACGTATGCCATTGTCTTGTATCATAGTTATACTTCACTCTTAGATTTTCTCTCTCTGTTTTGTTACAACTAATATTATTCTTGTACATAACAATTTTCTTTCGTCAGTGTAATATTCTTTCTTCTTGAGTTTCACTAGTCTCTTCATCTAAGAGTTTAAATAGTCTTCCTTATGGGCGTTCAATATTCTTTTCGTAAAGTTTTACTCATATTATCTAGTTATTATGATGACAATTTCTTATTATTATATTTAGTTCTTATCATTAAATAACAGAAAAGTTAATGATTTTCTAAATGCTAGATTACTTAACTTTCCTCATAAGTCCTTCAAAAAACAAAAAGAGGAAAAAAAAAAAAATTCTCATGAGTTACTACTTCTCATCTTCATAATTTTTTAAAAGATATATTTTAATCTCTTTTTAATGTTAAATCTTATTACTATTATCCTGATTACATATATATGCTAATATAGACCGTTACTTTTGAATAGTAATTAAAATTTTTTCCCTCCATTTCATTCTCAACCATTTTCAAAAATTTCCTCCATATTAAGATAACTGCATTTCATTGGTTACTTTTATATTTCAAAAGTCAATAACTTCTATTATATCTTACCAAAACTAGTTTTATTTTTATTACTGGTTTGTAGTGGTTTTGATTCCCTGAGAGTGTTTTACTTTGCTATGTATAAAAAAGAGGTTAGTAAGGAAGGCTTTCCTTCCTTAGCCCCTCTTACACAAATAAAGAAATAAAAAAATAAATATAAATATAAAGTACATAAAAAAAAAAATCAAAATCAACCTTGATTGAATATTGCAATCCTCTACATACGATGGTAATTTAACAGCGGTTTAGCATTCAATTTGGTTGAATATGAATCCCGATATCTTAATTAACATCTTGCTTAACTCACATTCCGAAGGCATTGCAATCCTATCTCAATATAAGATAAGTTCATCCCTTTTGTTTTCTTAAAATTTCAATAATCTAGTCCTTTTTTTTAATACCTTTTCAAATATTTATATATTTTGCAGGTTCGAAATGGTATCTTCAACAGGTTCTTGATCTTATGATCTTTACGTCTTTATTCTTCTTCTAGGCAGTATAATATATCTTATGTGTTGTTTTCCTAACATCACATGATTTATTCTTACTTGCTCTTTTGGATAGAAAAAGACATTATTTGGTTGGATTTCTTTCCATCCTGAATTGTATCTTTTGATACTTTCTTTCTTCTAAAAAAAAAAAAAAAAATCCCTAATCCGTGCAATGTTCGACGAAAGAAAATTCGATGTGCATTTGAAATTGTTGGCACTTCGAATACCTCGTGAACTTTGCAAGGTCGCAACTAAGATAGTAAATGGGTAAGTCTCTGTAATCTGTATATTTGTACAAAGATCAGTTTAATTTATGTTACCTATTTGAATTTTAGAATAAAGTTTCATTTTTTTAAGCTTCAGTTCATGAATTTGCCTTTATTTATTCTGTTGCCACTGAACTTTCAGCTATTTGCTTGATAAGCCTCGCGTTAAACCAATTACTGAAGACCCAGCATGTGAAAAGAACCGTTACATGATATTGTCTGAAAGGGTCCAAAATTCTGGTAAAAAGTTGTTAAACCTCTATGTATGTAATCTGCTGAGATTTGTGTTTGTCATAAGAGAATAGTAAGTTATATATGAAAATGTTTTAGCCCTTAACATGATTGGGCTTTTGCAGCTTATCTCTTACAAATGAAAAAAATTTTGTTTCGAGACAGATTTATCTGATATTCCTAATGACACAATCAACGAACTGAGTGGATTATGCAAGATTGATGTAGTTCCGTATTCATTAACTCTCGGATACTCATATTGGGGGGCAGGTTAGTAACAAAGCAATTCTGGTTCTTTTATCCTGTATTTTGATAAACAATCAATTTCTGGATGATATTTGCCTTTTGGTTTTCAGATCATATTTTGAAACAGATATTGCCTCCTGGAGTCGAGGTCCCGTCATCTTTTGAAACGATAGGTAAGTTTCAAATCATGAGTTTACTTCACTTCTACTTTTTTTCCCCTAATTTCTATTTAACCAAATAGTTTTCTTTTCATTTTTAATCTTATAGGAAAATACAAGCAACTTTTATTTTTTTTCCTCTATTTATATGTAACTTACTGAAGTATATTGGAGCAATTATACATTTGTTTTAGTATATTTGGAACAGCCAATTTATTTTCTTCCTATATCTTTTTAATGAGCCCAGTGTAATGTTTGATGATGAATTAGTGATTCTTGGTACTCATGCAGGTCACATTGCCCATTTGAATATACATGGTGAATTACTTCCCTTCAAGGATGTTATTGCAAAAGTCATCTACGATGTATGTTTCAACTTCTTCTGACCTTAATATGAATTTTTCTATTGGTATGAGTTCTATATCCTAGCATTTTATTTATATTGGCAGAAAAATTATCCAAGAATCAAAACCGTTGTTAATAAAGTTGGAACAATTACAAATGAGTTCCGTGTGCCCAAATTTGAAGTTCTAGCTGGGGAGAATAATATGGTCACAGAAGTGAAGCAATACGGATCGACTTTCAAGCTTGATTATGGTTTGGTTTATTGGAATTCGAGATTGGAACATGAACACATTAGGTTGGTTTCTCAATTTCAAGCAGGGGAAGTCATTTGTGACATGTTTGCCGGTATTGGTCCTTTCGCCATTCCTGCAGCACAGAAAGGATGCATTGTGTACGCAAATGATTTGAATCCAGATAGTATTCGTTATCTGAAGATTAATGCCGAAGTAAACAAAGTTGATGGTTATGTTTGCGCTTACAATACTGATGCTAGAGAATTCATTTCTCAAATGATGACAGTGCCCAAACTTGAGATAGAATTGAACGACAACACCGCTATTCTAAAATCATGTGAGCAGCAACAGGACAAGATAACCAATCAGGATATGGAATCAGCTGGTAAGACATTCATATCAATATATCATTTTCTTTTGGAAGGTGCAATTTCTTTCTATGGATGTTGACTAAGTTTTTAATGTTTTCTGCAGTTGAGGTGAAAGAACCACCAAACGGTGTTGTGAATAAAGTGGAGAATATGGAAGGCTCTGGTATTAGTGGAGATGCATCAGTAGCTTCAGTCAAAAGACCTTCAGATGATTGTCAAGCAGGTCAGGACCATACAAACAGGAATTTGGCTAACACCGAATATGTGAATCTAATGCTTTTGTTATTTATTTCTAGGGTGCTGTTTCGTAGATTAAGCATTCGTTTGCATTGCTAGAGTTCAAAAGCTCCCCCATCTCTCTTTTCCTGATATCAGGGGAAATGGAAATGTAAATTGGATTCACGACTTGACTGTATTTTTGTTTATTTTCTCTTCCTTATGTTCTCTCTAGAGAATGGAAGCGCACGCGGGAATACTTCTCCCGCTAGTAGGAGAAAAGGAAATAAGAATAAGAAAATGCGAGGCTCTGAGATTGCCGCTACTAAGACTTGGGAGCATGTTGATCATATCATAATGAATCTACCTGCTTCTGCTCTTCAATTTTTAGGTACAGACTGTTCTTTCGACATGGTTTATCTTTCATCTTCTAGATTATTCAATTTCTATCCTTAATTTTATTTTTCACCATCTTGAAGTATAAGGAAATTAAGTATAATATGTATCTTTGTTTTGTTTTTGTCATCAGATGCATTTAGAGGTCTAATCCAGAGAAAATATTGGAAGGGAGATCTTCCATGGATTCACTGCTATTGCTTCATGCGGGCACATGAAACCCAAGAACATATTTTCTCAGTAAGTGATCCTCGTGAATATACTTGTTTGTTGACCATCTTTTAAGGGGAAGAAGAAGGTTCCGCTACGAGATGAAAGTCTTTAGTAGTTTCTTCACCTTCTCTGTGGCGGGGAAGAAAATCCATTAAACTTTTCTTAAGAAAATCTCTTATGGAAAGTGTAGCATTCAATCTCTTTTATCCATGTTTTTCGAAAACATTTGTCCTATGAATCTATGATACCTATTCATATTATGGATTGAAATCATCTCAATATTCTACAATAGTTTCTTGTTTCACTCGAAATTTAAGATCCAACTGCTGTGCAGGAAGCGGAGGCTGCCTTGGGTGCCTCTATACAAAAGCCAATATTTCATAGGGTCAGGGATGTTGCTCCAAACAAGGTACAGCACCATTTTTTTAGACACCATCTCTGTTTAGTTCCTTTCTCAATTTTTCGTACCTCGGTGCATGCTTGGATGCGTAATGTCCTTCTCCGACTTTTGTTGTTCAGGCAATGTTTTGCTTAAGCTTCAGGCTGCCAGAATCTTGTTGTCATGAAAATGTCTCCAATGCCTCGGAGCGATGAGCATTCACGAATCTCCTTGCCTTGGTGGTGATTGCGGTTGACGCTTTCTCATGCACCGGCTCTGAAAAGCGAAGGGTTTTATATTCCTACGACTAAGAAGAGCGGCGTACGTGGAAAATGGAAATATCAACTGATGCAAAACTCAAGTGCCTAATTTACACAGGGAACTAGAAAGCAATTAAATTAACAGTTCACCGCTTTTCAATTTGTAACTCATGTTGCTTAATACGAGGGACAGTTTTGACTGATCAGCTAATCAATCTTTCTCCCATTATCCCTGTTCAATGGCGGCTAAAAATATTAGCTCATAAGATTGCGTAATGAAAAAGGATTGGTCTCTCTCTCTCTTACATATGAATGGCAGTGCATATCTAGCACTAATGGCAAAACATTTGTATATTATATGTCAATACACATGAAAGTAGTTCATATGGATTAATTCTCTAGTTCCCTTATTCAGTTTGCAATGTTTGAATAATGAGAAACAAGTTTCCGTATGGCTCAACAAGTAGTATTCATGGTGAAGAATATTGATTAGTGTACCCATTTGTGTGTCTTTCTGTATAAGCTATTGGGGTTAGATGACGGCACAGCGAAGTGGTATTCATTGTTGGACTGATCTATAATTACCCCTAAAATAAAAAGCATATAATAAATAGGAATATAAGAATGTCACACATACATGCTGAAAATGAAGATGTAAACTATGATGATATAGGACAGTTATCCTGTCATATATTCTCACGTATTGAGCAATAAATAAACCATCCCATTAATCAAAATTGCATTGCACTGCCCCTTGTCGAGAAACAGAGAGAAGGAAAAAAAAAAAAAAAACAGAAACAAAAAGAAGCACCTATTTTCTACTTTCTTTTGATTGGATCTTGTCATGGCACGTCCCAAAATTTTAAAACGTAACATTTGTTTTCTTCAATTATGAAATTTTAACAAAATAATATATTTTTTAGGCCTCTCTTAATTTATAAATTCGTTGGTTCTTAATATTAGTAATAGGAATGGTAATTTTATGGACAAAATTACCTCGAGTGACACAAATAAGGGGGGAAAAAAAACAGAGGCAATTTTGTAAAAACAAAAACTAAATATAAATAAGAATGCTATGTTCTCTGTAAACAGGCGCTTTCTCTTTATTAATATGGATGTCCATATTTGTCAAACACAAGTATCGGAGTAACACCAATGATTAATGATTGTTAACTCCAACTACACCTTTAGTAATTGTGTTATATAAAGAACAATTTATGTGCTGCATTAAAATTAAGTTGTAAGAAAAGCGAAAGCTGTAGGAGTGAAAGATGAGCCGGTGGCAAAAGCTAAGGTAAACGTATAGCACCGGAATTAAAGAACCATGTCTCTTGACACTAGTTTAAGAAAAGAGAAACTTCTGCAATGGGATTTCTCCTTTTCTTACTATCGATAGTTACTGTTATTTTAACTGTTGTATTAGAATTTTAATGTTTTAATGTGTGTGTTCACGTTAAGCATTTACTACAACAACTGCTACAGCCAAAAAAAAAAAAAAAATATTAGTAATTTTTCAGTTTAGACAACAGTAACTACTAGTAGTTAAAAAGGACAAATGTATTGGAGAAATTTCAAAAGAAAAAAAAAAAGACAAATAGCAGCAGAAGAAAATTCCCTAAACTAGAGAATTATCCTTCCCGTGTTAAAATGAGCTGCTTTAGACAGAAGCAACTTGGTCAACCTAAAGTTTATCCTTGTTCAATCTAAAATACCTAACTTTTTTTGTTATGAAGTTCCTAATTGTTATAAACTTAGAAGATATGTGGCTTAAGTCTAAATAATTGCTTTTCTTATAAACTCCGAAAGAAAAAAGGGATCAATAAGAGATTAGTTCGAGTAGAAATTTCTTGACAAAATTGAGACACCCACTCACAATCAAACTTTGATTTAAAGAGCTTGTAAACATTTTTTTTTTTTTTTTTTTTTTACTAATTATTCATTCCAATTGTCATTTAATTTTGAATTAAAGTAGTCATAACCGTATTTTTTTTAATGACACGACTTAAAAGCCTAATCAATCATTATTCCATTTAGAGTTTCATTTCAGTTATACTCACAATATTATCCACAGAAAATTCATTGTTCTCTCTCTATTCGTTTTTCTAATTAACAAAGAAAAATAACAATAAAAGCTAGGAATGAACAGACAGAAAAAAAAAAGACAGGAATAATCTTTACTCGTTAGTTGTTTCTAATTATTCTTTTTTTTTTCTTTAGGTACACAAAACAAAATGCTATATATAGGAATAACATGTGAATTATCTTGTAGAAAGACAAAAGAAAAAGAAAGGCATTGGAAAAGGGGAGATAATAAGAAAAGCATCATTACATGGAGAAACTCCCAGAATTAGCAGTTATATGGATACCGTATCTATATATATATATATATATATATATATATTATAATGTGCATATATGAAAATTGACAAGTAAGAGAAATGGCAATTCCACATTTCATTGACACGGAAATTCAACATTTTAGTCACAAACATCCTTTGCAATATAGACATATCAGTAATGAAATAAAAGATACATATTGTTTCTGTTTTGCCCAAGACTGCCCATATTACACCCACGAAAACTGTGCAGATTTGCAGGAACAAATGATCAATCACGCGTTGCATCCTCAACACCATCTCAAACTTGCTAAGAGATCATCCTTAAATGGCGACAACAGTCGCTGCTATTACTGCGAGAAGCCCTTCGAAGATATATCGATGAACAATATCTCTACACATGCGACCAGTGTTCTAATTTTCACATGCATTTGACTTGTGCAGCGATCCCCACTGCCCACCGAAGAAACGACCGAGGTTGACGACGGCAGTCACGATGACGGTGTCGTTCAATATATCTGCCATCAGCGTCCAATGATCGAGCAGAGTTTATGGCAAAGTAGTGCTAAATGCTTTGCATGTCAATCAGACTGGTCAGGTCCAGCCTATTCTTGTGACTTTGTTCGAATTTTCTCCGCAAATCATGCGCGGATCGATTGCCAAGGAGATTACAACATCTGTTTCAGCCGCGCCACCCTCTTATGCTTCATGTCACTAAGCCTCGATCTTGTAATTCCTGTTGCAAAATAGATTGCAGGCTCATGTTCGGTTGTCATGAAGATGTTCTTTCGACAACAACATCTGTGAAATGTCGAAGTCATGAGCATTTCCTCTTTTTAGTGGGGCAAGGATTATGCGAAATTCAATGCGATGCGTGTCAAAAATCTTATAAGAGTTGGCCCGATTTTGTCCCTAGTGAAATTAACCATACTCTATCTCTCTTATTTCGTTGCATGGACTGTAATTTCAACTTTCATTTTTTATGTGGTCCATTGCCATTTACTGTAAAATATGAGTGTCACATACACTCTTTGACTCTTGTTGATCGCTTGATCGAAGATGATTCAGATGAATATTACATTTACTACTGGGAAGAGTGCAAGAATGTTGCTCATATACACTGCGTGACTCCTAAGGTATGTTTTACAAAATTACAATATGATGTCAATCTATTATGCTTACGCCTATATCTGATCTTATATCTTGAAAGAAAGAAAAATATTGTTGTTGTTGTTGTTGTTGTTTTTTTTTTTTTTTTTTTTTTTTTTTTTTGCCCTTTAAGCAAACTTTCAAGCTCTTAATTAACTTTAAACGGATAATGTTCTGAAAATATTTTCTAAGGCGAGAAAAATGTAGTATAATATTTCATAATCACATTTTCTTAAGAGTGGAAAAAGATGAGTATATAAAACTAAATTTGTAGTTCGAAGAAACATACGCCTTAAACACCAATGCTACGTTTGAATCTTTGATAGTAGGGATGAAAAATAGATAGAAAAGATAAGTAAAATATCTAGATGAAGAAAGTAAAATGGTAGAAGAGAGATTGTCTTTTATATTGTTTGGTAGAAGATAAAAAAAAAGTGAAGAGAAAATGTCAAATTTAATTTATTTTACAATAATACCCTTATGGATTTTAAAACTATAGTGAATGAATATTTAAGGTTAAAACAATTATTTTACGTCTCATTTACTCATCAAATTTTTTCCTCTTTTTTTTCTTTCTAAAGTTTGAAGGATTGAAAAATGGTGGGCCTAATGGATTTATAAATTCTTTCCTTTCTCATTTCTTCTACACCAAACAAAATACCAAGATTGTGTTTTACTCTCAAAAATCCCTCCTCTATTTTATTTCCATAGGCTAAAATATGTGTTATATATACTTAATTATCTTTTAATTTTACGTTCTTTTAACATATATGTTGATCTGAATATATAAGATCAATTCTGACTTGTATATCAGATAATGACAGCACTAAAGGAAAACAATAATAAAGAAGATGTGGAGCTTTGGGCCTTAGGAGAAAGTCAATGGGATTTGGGCGTGCTGCAATCTAACAAGGATGCAACAAAGGAATATTGTGTGCAACATGAGAGCCTGGCAGTCGCAAGTGCTATAGAATCGAATTCTCGTTTTGATGCAAATGGATCGGTTGAAGATATCGAAAGACTTGCACATTTTTTCCGATTCGAAAATGCTGATGGTGAAAACTATCTTGCCGAGCTTGGGAGATTTTATCCCGCGGAAGGTCAAATGAAACTACTGGATGACAAGTTTTTAAGACAACAACTTGAGAATGTTGGGGGTTACGTGGTACTGAGGACGTTGGCTCCGGTTTTAGGGACCATAATATCAGATTGGGGAGGAAGATTAGAATTAGAGATTGATAGAAAAGCAAGGATATGGGCTCGTGTGAGTAGGAAACAGAAAATATATATTCTAGTTCTATTATCAGCTATGAGCTTGAATCTAAGAGAAATTCTTATTTGCGAATACGAATCCATCTTGAATCCAAGATTATTCTTGTTCTATATAATTCTCATGGTTGTGAATACGAATCCATCTTACTCTTTCTGCGTAACCAATCTTCTCATTTACGATTAACATCTTCTGGGGATTGCTTCGCAACTATCAGGATCTCGGTCGCGGAGAATGGTTTTCCTACTCAAATATAACACCTAAAATGAAGAGCGTTGTCGTTACTTTACTATGCATAGTCATTGAAAGAATATGCAAAACCGACGTCGAAGACATCAAAAAGGATGATCTTAAACACTGGATATTCTACCTATACGAAGCATTGGAGACTTTACGGGCTTCGAAATTATAAGTCCTTTATTTGAGTCTTTTGAAGAACTTTTGCGGGCATTTCTTGGTCTTGAAGCAATCAGATGCGAAAAAGAAGGCATAAAAAATTTAGACCATAGAATTGCTGAGCTAAAGGATGAGTTGAAGAAATGCGAAAGACCCCGTGAAAAGTACAAAAGATAAAATGACAAGTCTACGGCATCCGATTTTATGAAAGACTATTTCAGAGTGGCTTCAGAAC